TGTGTATGGTGGGGAGTAGTGGCCAATGAGATCGGAAGAGAGGTGAGGGCCAGACTGTGAGGGGCTTCAGAAGCTAAACAAAGTGCACCTTCATCTCTCATCTTTTCTTTTTGTACAGATTGACTTGCGGTATGAAGCTCGGAATCTAGAGTGCTTCCAAAACAATTTCCTGGATGTGAATTTTGTCAGGTTCCCTACTCCTCTGCAGCCCTTTGTCACCAGAGATGTTCTAGTGGAAACATTTGAAGTAAGAATGAAAGGAAATAATTTATATGTATTATATATATATATATATATATATATATATGTATATATACATATATAAAATCTAAAGTGTGTGTGTGTGTACATTATGTGTAATATACTTAGGACAGGCCAGTGTTCATCTCTGAGAAATAGAGGCAGCATGGTCTAGGGAGAAAAGGACCGACCTGGTGGTCAGTTTGAGTCTGGGCTAGGACACTTACTGTTTTGGTGATTGTGGGCAAATAAGTCTTCAAAGATCCTCCTCTCCTAGCCCCAGAAAGGCAGATTTACCTTTATATAAGGAAAAGCCTTTCTAATAACAAGAGCTATTCAGAAGTGGAATGGGCTGCTTCAGAAGACAGAAGATTTCCCCTTGCCTTTAAGCAAAGGCTGGATGAGTGAACATTGGGAAGAGAGTTCTCTTATTCAAATACAGGTTAGACAAGGTGGCTTCTGAGATCTGTGATTCCTGTGGGGAATGTCTAACTTGGGAGTGTGATGTAGTTGGAGAGAGTCAGGAGGGCATGGAGCCAGGGGAGACCGGGGTTTAAATTCTACCTCTGATGCTAGCTGTCCAAACATGGACAACCTTGCTGAGTCCCAGTTTGGTCATCTGCAAAATGGGCAGAATACCTGTATCACCTACTTTGCAGGGTTGTTATAAGTATCAAATGATATAATGCTCATAAAATTTTCTGTCATTATGAAAATCAATGGCTATCTATTTTTATTGCTATTATTGGAAATGAAATGTACCAGGATGTGCCCTATGGTGTCCTAGTCAAATACAGAATGCTAACTGGGCTGGATGGATCCAGGATTATTGGTCCTAGCCTGTTGTGACATAGGATCATCATATCCCATGATCTCTCTTTTCATCCTTCTTTGTAAGGGACTGTAAAAGGACTGACCTGGGTGAGTGAAGTTTGGTTAAGCATCTGCTGGGAAAGCAACCTTGATATGTTAACTAGGGAAGGGGTAGACTAATAAGACTCCTCTCCTCCCCCTCTGGGCAGGAGGTAGGGGCATCAAACTGACACTTTTTCCTCTCTCCTTGCTTTAAGGAGAGTGTTCCTGTGTCCTGTTATCAGAAGTCCGAGATTCCCACAAAGCTGAAGGGGAAAATAGCAAAGCTGGGGATAGACATGCTTCTGAAGATGGTAAGAACTGGGATGCTGTAAAGTCCCAGAACTCTACCTGTTGGGAGAATGGACTAGGAAACGTGCCCTGGGCTGAGATGAAAAGGAGATGACATCTGCAGGTGTGCCCCACTTTAGGAAACCCGCATGAACCAATGTCAGAACCCGAGGATGAGGGCATGGTCCTTCACATTACAAAAGGATCCCTTCCTTTCTGCCTTCTGCTGGTTTCTGGTGCCATGCTCTGCCAACTGTTGGAAAGAGGGCTGGCTCCACAACTTTCTAGGCCCCCGTGTGCTCCCTGCTCCATAGCCAGTGCTGATTGTTTGCTTGCCCCCTCCCAATGACTTCCTCTGCATCCTGGAGGGCTCAAAATAATATCCCTCTTTGCCCACCAGCAGACTGCCCTTGGTGCCCTCAACATCATCTCTCCCACTACCCATAAATGCAAATGAAGGAGAATGGTTCAAATGTAATTTTTAAGATTATAGTGAGTTGAGCACCATTAATTGGACTATTTGAAAGACTGACTAGAATCAGTGAAAAGTCTAAATTATGAGATGTTTTAAAGAAGTTGTGTTACTTTTAAGCACATATGATTATGAAAATAAGGTTAATAAGGTGCTACCAAATTTTTCGAGGTCTTAGATGACCTAAGATTTGTGTTGTTTTAATGAATGGATAAGAATCATTTGCAATTGGCATACTATTAGTTCAACTCCACAAGTTCAAATAAGTGCTGATAAAGCGCTTTAACATAATTATGGGTTAAATAGTCCCTTATCTAGTTTATTGTCTTATTTTATTTAGAGGATACCTTTCCCCCATCTTCCAGATAAAATCAAAGCTAAGCGTCAGTCTCACCAGCCCTTATCTGCACTGTGAATTTTTTATTGATGGGGTCCTAATTAATGAGACTTTGTGGTATTTGTTATTAGAAACAGCATGATGTGGAGTTGGCTTGAGAATCAGAAGACCTGGGTTTAAGCCCCATCCCTGATAGCCTGGCAAGGCACTCCATGCTCCAGGTCACTCTCTTGGACCACAAGGTGCAGACAAAAAGCTAATCTCCATTAATAGAGAGTGTCATCGTTAGGAGTAGCTTTATACCAATGAAATCAGAGATCTAGTACAAAAATTGTATTCGTACATGTACCATTAATGTGGATAACTGAGAACTGAACACAAATTTAAAAGAATTTTCCCCTCGGCAGTGAGAAAGTGGTGGGCCTCACCTATTCATGATATGGATCCCTTTCCAGGTATTTGTTGACAATTTTGTCCACGCCGACCTACACCCTGGGAACATCCTGGTCCAGGGAGCAGAACTTCCTAAGGAGTGCCAAGACCAGAGGAGCCTGGGGGACACGTATGACACCCTGATGTCGGACGTCAGACCTGCTTCTTCCCTACTGAGGCTGGTCCTGCTGGATGCAGGCATTGTGGCAGGGCTGCAGGCAGCCGACCTGGAGAATTTCCGGGCAGTCTTCACTGCAGTGGCCATGGGGCAGGTGAGACTTGTGGTTCACGCAGCGGTCAAGCAGGGGGTCTGAGCACTGGTTTTATTCCAAGAGTTGAGGATTTTCGAGCTCTGCCATTCAGCTTATAATGCTTATAAATGTCTAATTTTACCTGGAGGGCATGGGCTTTAAAATATCTGGAGCTCGAGGGACCTTGGAGGCTTCTTTATAAACAAGGAAACTGAGGCTGAGAGATAGTAAATGACTTGGTCACACAGGTAGTGAAGGTCAGTGGCAGGATTTGAACTCAGTCCTCCTGACTCCAAGGCCAACTCTATCCACTGCATCTCCTAACCCCCCCCAAACACACACACAGTACACATGATATTAAGTATGTATATATGTGTATGTATATTTGCATATGAGCAGCTAGGTGGCTCAGTGGATAGACAACTGGGCTTGGAATTAGGACTCATCTTCATGAGTTCAAATCTGTCCTTGGACACTTACTAGCTCTGTGATCCTGGGTAAGTCACCTAACCTTGTTTGCCTCAGTTTTCTTATCTGTAAAATGAGCTGGAGAAGGAAATGGCAAACCACTACAGTATCTTTGCCAAGAAAACCCCAAATGGGTCATGAAGAATTGGGCGTGACTGAAATAACAATAACAGCAATAAAATACGTGTGTCTATGTGTATATGTACACATACATACATAGATAGATACATACACAGACACACATATATGTGTGTATATATGTGTGTGTACATATATAATACATATACATATATACATATATATATAAATTCTTAAGATTTCCTTACACTCTAATAGAATTGTTTTGCCTCCAAAACAGCTGATGGTATATGCTATGGTGAAAACTCACCATGGAGGGGAATGCTCTAATTTTACAAAAGGGAAAAAGACTGTGGTCCCAGAGACATCACATAAAATTTTAGAGCTGTGAGGGGTCCCCATTTTACAGATGGAGAAATTCATACTCAGAGATTTGTCCAGGCCTAAGCAGCTGGGTGATGCAGTGGATTGAATTCTTGGCCTGGAGTCAGGAAGAAGGGAGTTCAAATCCAGCTTCAGACACTTACTAGCTGTGTGATCCAGGGCAAGTCACTTAACCTTTGTTTGCCTCAGTTTCCTCTTCTGTAAAATGGTGATAATAAGAGCACCCACCTCCCAGGGTTGTTGTGAGGATCAAATGAGATAATTGGCAGAGCACTTAGCACAAATGCTTGTTCCTTTCCTTGTCCCTCTCCCCCCACCAGAATAGTGAGTATGAGAGCACTAGAACTGAAGTCCTTCCTGACTTATTTGGAGATACCCGCTTTCTCCTCCACCTCGAATCATACGGCCTCTCAAATCATGCCATACACAAAACACTAGTCACTCTCTCTATTTTTCCTTGTGGCATGTGTTTTCCCACATAGGGAAATCCTTCTTCCCTTCGAGGGCATGGATGCTAAGCATGTGGCATACTGCCTGGTCCCACTGGCTGCTTGGGCTTTTTGTAACAGACCTATGGTAGTTTGTGGGTGATTTGGGGGCATAAAGTTAAAAAAGATTGGGCATCTAAAAATAGAATTATATTAGGAATAGGTGAGAGAGTAGGACTGTGAAGGAAATTTAGGCAGAGCTGTCTAAATGTACACCAGCTAATTCTCTAAGAAAGTTTTTTAAGTAGTAGAAGTGCCCAGTGGGATGTGGGAGTTAGGTTATTCAGATACTTCAATCATGTTTGACTCTTCATGACCCCATTTGGGTTTTCTTGGGAAAGATACTGGAGTGGTTTGCCATTTCTTTCTCCAGCTCAATTTACAGATGAGGAAACTGAGGCAAACAGGGTTAAGTGACTTGCCCAGGGTCACACAGCTAGTAAGTATCTGAGGCTGGATTTGAACTCAGGAAGATGAGTCTTCCTGATTCCAGGCCTGGTGCTTTATCTACCATACCACTTAGCTGCCCTTGGGAGTTAGGTTACTACAGTTATATCCTAGGTTCCTATAATGTATCTGAGGGTATGTGGGAGGAGGGTGAAGTGCATACAGATGAGATAGGTGAGATGCAACGTCACATAGTAGAGTACTGGACTTCAAGTCAGGAAGACCTGGGTTTAAATCTTACCCCAGACAATTATTAGCTCTATGGACTTTGGAAGGTCATTTAACCTCCTCTTCCTCAGTTTCCTCATCTGCTAAACAGCAGGTTAAAGTGAATGGTTAAAGTCCCTCCCAGCTCTAAATCTGTGACCCTATATTGGTGAGTAGCATGCCCCAAGTCTTCCAGTATCTATATGACTTAGGGAGATGGGAACTGAAACTGACCTTTCTCCTAATGCCAACACCTTCGAGGAATGGCACTCACAAGCTTTCTCTTTACTTGTGGTCTTCAGGGTGAAAGAGTGGCTGAGCTCATCTTGCATCATGCCCGGGCCAATGAGTGCCAGGATGTGGAGAAATTCAAAACCGAGATGGCGGTGCTAGTGACCCAGGCCAGGAAGAACACCATTACTCTGGAAAAGGTAGGCAGGCCAGGAGCTGGGAACACAAGCAAGCAGGAAAAAACCCTCTTCTTAGGCTTGGTTAGTGCCTTCTTTCTTTGCTAGGGCAGATCTCAAGCTATATAGAGCTGGGGAGTGGAAGAGATGTTTCTGACTGAAGGACTATGTGGTCTCTGTTTTAAGGCAGATCAATCCAATCTAACTCCCAATAAGCATTCTAAGTGCCTACTATTTGCAGGCACTATGCTAGGATTAAAAAAAAAAAACACAACTCAACATTCCCTTCCCTCAGAAAGCTTACATTCTTCGTGGTGTGGCGGGAGAAACAGTAAAATGAAGGAGATAGGAAGTCACCATGTTTTTCTCCTTTAAGTCTTCCAGCCATAGGTCAGCCCATTACATCGAATGGTGCTCCAAAATGTGATTTTCTCCTTAGGCGCTCAGGGTGGGTCTCTTGGAGGCAGAATGTTACAATAGAAAGAAACCTGGCATCAGAGGAGCTGATCACACTTCCGATGCTTACTACATGTGTGACCTTGGGCAAGGATTTTCCTGGGCCTTAATCTCCTCATCTTTGAAATCAGGGAGTTGGGCTAGATGGCTTCTAGACCCATAAGCCAATATGATAATAAGTAAATTAATAGTTTACTTAAATTATGTAAGAAAATGACCACAGGTCAGCTCTGGAGATACAGTTGTAAGCAGGACCAGCCTTCTCATTCATTCCAGTGACTTTTTTGTTGCTTTTTTGTGTGATGGGAAATGTATGGACATGATCTGTAGGGCCTCTTGCCCCAAAGAGAGAAAAGATCCTTAGACTGAACAGTTTTAAGATGCCCACCCCTACCCTTTCCCCCCTGTTTAAACCAGCCCTCCTCAATAAAGCGCTCATACGGACTTCAGGGACTGGGAAGTCCCTATACCCTTCTTGAGCAGTCAATGAGCTCCTCTCCTCCCCGACCTTTTGTTTTTTTTTGTGGGAGTGAGGAGGGAAGTGATACTTTTAGGCTCTTTAATAAGGTTTGCTTTTCCTAACAGCTTCAAGTATCAAACCTGCTCTCCAGTGTCTTTAAGCTGCTGATGACCCATAAGGTAAGCCCAGACTCTAAGCTGGACCTTCTGCCTACAGGCCCAGGCCACCTGGGTAGGGGTGGGGCATCCTAGAACTGAGCAGAGTGGTTGCAGCGACCTTATGGTACAAACAGGATTTGGCAGGGGACAGGGGATGTTTAGTTTAGGTAAGAATAAACTCTTGTAAAGCACTTTAGTAGCAGCAATTCAAAAATAAGTTGGGCTAAGAGTTACAAAGGATAAATAGAGTCTAGCATATAGCAGGCACTTAATAAATACTTGTTAATTGACTAGAATCCATTACAGCAGGTACCCAAAACCTCTATAGCCAACCCTGTTAACCTGGTTTTTGTTTTGATAAGGAATTGGAAGTAGTAAAAATTTAATGTATGTATGCATGCATGCATGTAAATGTGCATTATATGTATATACATATGTGTACAAATAAAGGCACAAGTTATGGAATCTCTATATACATGGGTACATATATGTTTACATATACATACTTATCCATGCATGTGTATGTACATACACACATACATATGTCCCTCCTGGTTTATTGCCTTGTGGCAGAGGGGCGGGCATAGCTCAATGAAACTAAGCGCTATGCTGTTCGGGTTACTTAGACAGACGGGTCATAGCGGAGAGTTATGATAAAAAGTGACCCACTGGAGAAGGAAATGACGAACCATTCCAGTATCTTTGCTAAGAAAACCCCACGGACAGCTGCTTCTCTTGTTTGTCCTTCATTCTGGAAGGGGACCATGACCTCAGGAAGGTGATGCCATGGCAGGTGGATTGGATTGAAGTGAGGGAGGGCTGGGCAGAGTCACCAGTCTCAATCTCTCCTCCGGAGCCTTCTGGGTCCAGTGGTAAGATACGGATCAGGACCACTGGAGATGGCCCTGCATGCAGTGGGACACCGTGGCCTTTTTAAGCTAAGGTCTTTCCCAGGTCTCGGTTAGACTGAGGTAGAGCCCATTCAGTGATTAAGGCTAGGTGAGAAGAAAAAAAAGAAAAATATACAATTAGATTGGGACTGGCTGGAGTTCATGGTGTTAGAGAAGGGACAGGGTAAGGCAGTGCTCGGAGGGTAGAGACCTGAAATGGAAGTACCACTGAGGGCACTAACATGTGTATGATGAGACTTTAAAAAGCACTGCTCTGCCTCTGTTCTTGCTATTTCAGGTCAAGCTTGAGAGTAACTTTGCCTCGATTGTCTTTGCGATCATGGTGTTAGAAGGGCTCGGCCGCTCGCTGGACCCCAAACTGGATATCTTGGAGGCAGCCAAACCCTTTCTTATAAAAAACTCGACGTTTCCCCCCTGGCTGCAATGGTGAAGGCAAAGGGTTTCACCAGGTAAATGCCAGCATCCCTCATGAAGCTATCCTGGGACAGCCAGGGCGTCATCTTCCTTTCATTCTGGGTTGGTTCCAAGAAGGCTGACTATTAGACTCTGAGACAACTTGATTGGCTGAAGTACATGGTTGAGGAACTCATGGAATACCCTAAGTACTAGTACTTTATTAGTCGACCGTCACCCGGCAGATGTGAATGAGTTGATTGTAGAAGAGAATGAATACTTTTCTTTACCATCCCCACCCCAACATACACAGACACATTCACTTTCTGTCTCTCTCTTGGGCTTAAGGTCCATGGCTATTTTGAAAAGTGATTGAAAAGTGAATAGAGTCCTAGATTTGGTCTCAGGAGGGATGAGTTTGAATCCTGTCCCCGTGTAATTTACTTATCCTCCCTCAGCCTCAGTTCCCTCATCTGTAAAATGAGGATAATAACTGTACCTACTTCACAGGGGTGTTGTGAGGCTCAAATGAGTTAATATATTTAAGGAGTTTTTCAAATTTTAAAATGCTAAATATATATATATATATATATAAAATCAGCTATAATTATTATTATAATATTTAATAATTAAAGGTACCATAAATAAGGGTACCATTGTCAATGGTGATTACAACATTGTTTAGCATTTGTTAAGGAGCATGCTATTACTGAACACAACATAAGTTTGGGGGCATGACTGACAAGGAGCAGGGAAGTGGTGGCCCCTTTCCTCTGAATAACATATGGCATGTATGCCATATAAAAAAAGAGAATTCTAGGCTATCACCTTTCTCCTTTTCCCCAATTACAGAGTTATCTCCATTTCTTTCCTTGTAAGCAGAAAACAGGATTTTGGTTAGTGTATATGTTACTGTGAGAAGCAGCATGGCTTAGTGGTTAGAGAGCTGGCCTTGAAACCAGGAAGACCTGGATTCAAGTGTTGCCTCTAACACATACTAGCCATTTAACTGGACAAATTATTTAACCTCAGTGCTCTGGGGGCAGCTAGGGGGCGCCACAGTGCAGACTGCTGGGCCCGGAGTCAGTAAGCCAAGGTCAAATGTGACCTCAGACATTTCTTAGCTGTGTGACCTTGGGCAAGTCACTTAACCTTTGTTTGCTTCCCTCAGTTTCCTCAACTGTAAAATGGCGACAATAAGAGCACCTACCTCACAGGGTCATTGGGAGGATCAAATGAGATGTTTGTAAGATGCATAGCACAGTGCCTGGCAATATAATAAATTAATAATAATAGATGCTTTTATTATTAGATTTGGTGGTGTGAGGCATTATTTAGGATAACATTATATATTAGGGTAGTACTGTTATTAAGATATTCTTATCTTCCAATGATTTCATACTCTGACTGTTCTTCAAGAAGAAAACATAGGGGAATGGGGAAAAACCTGTTTGGGTTTATTGAAGATTCACCTTAGAGATTGTAAGCTCTAGGAGGGCAGGGCTGGTATTATTTAAATTTGTATCACTTTAATTGCAATGACTGATTTGGGTCCCAGAGTATGGAATGTGAAATATACTTTACCTCTCTCTGGGTAGAGAGGTGGGAGATTATGGGAACATTTAGATAAATGCTGTCATTTTTACTTAGCTGTTTGTTACAACAAAGGTGTGTGTGTGTGTATGTGTGTGTGGTGGGGGCTTTTGGGATATGATTATGATTCTGGTTTAAAAAACGGAAGTCTTTTAAAAAAAAAAGCTTAAAAAGTATAACCCTCCCACTACCTAGTATGGTGCTTTCTGAATAGCAGGGACTTAATAAGGGGTTTGTTGAATTGAATTGAATAGCTGGGCCTGTTGGATGGTCAGACAATACCATATTAGTTCAAATATAGGCCACACTCCACTTCCCACCCCCCACGTGGTTTGTACAAAACCTGCGTCGTAGCTGTCCTTAACACTCTTCGTATGAGAATAAAGTGACAAAGATGAAATGACAGTGATGATAATAAAACATCTTTATCTGAATTAAAAGAAACATAAAATAGAACATTTACAGTCAACATTAATATATGGTAATGGCAGATAATAATTTTTCATTGTCTTTTTCCTTGCCTCTTCCTCCTTCAGACTCCAGGTACTCTGATCTGACCTAGGGATTGAATGAGCCTAAGGACCAGCGGGCCCTCTACCGTTCCACTGAACCTGTAGCATTTCTAGGTCTTTCCATCAGCCCCACTATTGTCTCCCTCAATGATATTATAAGCTTCTGGACAGCATGGACCTCTCATTTTTCTTATTTGTATCCCAATTGTTTAATATACTGCTTGGCACATAGTAAGCACTTAACAAATGCCTATTCATTCATTCAATCAATGAATACACTGTTCTGGCCCAGAAGTGTCTTGAGGAGAGAGGTATATTTAATTATTTGTTCAAAATGAGACTTTTATTTAGTTGGCTACATTTCCAACCCTTTTGAACATGTTTGGTTCTTGGTGGGATGAAGCCATAGTCTGCAGATGACCAGCAGCAGACCTTATGGCAATCCTGGCTTTAGAGGCCATGGACATAGAAGATTGTGGGAGTTAAGTTCCACCTACACTGAGCTGTGATTTTAACAAGGGGGGCCCAGGGGAGGTTGTTTTAGAAAGTGATATATTACAGGACTGACTATAGAGTTAGGAAGACCTAGTTTCAAATCCTGCTTCACACTGAAGCTGTGTGGCCCTGGGCAAATCACTTAACCTATCTGAGCCTCAGCAAGATGCCTTTCCGGAGATCTTTAAAGCAGTTCCTTCCCTTCTGAGATTATTTCTAATTTACCTTGTTTATTTCTTGCATGTACTTAGTTGTTTGCATGTTGTCTTTCCTGTTAGAATGCGAGTTCCTTAGAGGGAAGGAACTGTTTTTGACTTTCTTCACCCCAGGACTTAGCACAAGTTGTGGCACACAGAGCTTAATAAATGCTTGCTGATTATTTATGAAGATCAACCGAGGTTTAAAGTGAAATACCGTTGTTGTTCAGTCCTGTCTAACTCTTCATGACCCCATTTTCGGGGTTTTCGTGGCAGAGATACTGGAGTGGTTTCCCATTTCCCTCTCCAGCTCATTTTACAGATGAGGAGAATTAGGCAAACAAGGTGAAGTGATTTGTCCATAGTCACACTGCTAGGAAGTGTCTGAGGCCACATTTGAACTCAGGTCTTCCTGTCTCCAGGCCTGGCACTCTTATCCACTGAGTCACCTAGCTGCCTAAAAAAGCAACATATATGGTACCTACTACTACCACTTACTACCATCACCACCACCACCACTACTACTTCTACTAGTACTACTAGTACTTCCAGCTCACAATCTATGACTCCAGGATACCTACAATTACTATTTTGCCACGATCACCAAAGATGCCAACCCGATTACTTTATCTCTGCTTTGAACAATTTAGTCAGTGCATGCTGGGGGCTATAATAGTTTTCATTCACTGGGAAGTAAAATAAAATTAAATCTTACGACTCTACAACTCCAATCATACAGAGAACACACCTAGCTACGTTTTGGTTCTAGGTCCTGCAAAGTCTTCCTACACGCGTCTCCCGGCGTGGGGGTGGGGCAGTGGTCAGGCGTGGTTACAGGATACGTCACTCCGGGGCAACGGACGGCGTCCTCGTTGCTAGGAGACCACCTAAGTCCGCCCAGGACTGAACCACTCCAGAGAGCTCAGGGACCGACAGGCTACTTCTCGCCCCCTCCGCGGCTGACTAGCATCTACCCAAAGGAGACGTTACCAGAACGCTCCAGGAAGAAAGATGCTTCCTCTGCTAGAAGACCAGAAGGAGCCCTGCTGCTCCCCGCGACCACATCCTGAACCCCCTTCCCCACGCGAAGCGGGAGACATAGTTGGGTCCGAAACTGGAAGAATCCATTCGCTTCTATACGGGGGGAGGGGAAGGACGCAGTGCGAAGAATGAAGAATCAGGGCTTCTTTCCCACTTGGCTGAAGTAGAGCACTGCAAACTCCAGCTTGGCCCCCCGAGCCGCGTCAACGCTAGACTGACTGAGGGTCTCGCGAGCATCTCCCGAAACGACTGGAGACACCCCCGCTCACTACGCCGACGGGGGAAGTGACGTCTGGGGAAGGGGCGGAGTCAGATCGCGACGGCTCCGGAGCGTTCTGCCCCGGCTCTGCGGACTGCGGCGGTCATGTCGGCGCTGAGGCGGCTGGGCCCTTTCCTTCGCGAGGGAGGCCGGCGCTTCCTGGAGGGTCCGAGCGAGCGGACTGCTGATTGCGGCATCGGAGCAGTCCGGTAGTGAGTGTTGACTGGTGGATGGAGGGGTTTTCGGTCGCGTCTTTCTGTCCCCGGGTCCGCCGTCACCTTGAAGGGCGCTTAGAGGGGACTACAAATCCCAGGATGCTAACCTGAAGCACCCTGCCTCCGCCCCAGGGCATTTGTGGGCTCTAGTGGGGAGGCGGTGATTGGACCACCCTGACTTTATGCCCGCCTCTCGTCGCGCTCCTCCCTCTTTTCCCCTCCCCCTCCCTTGTTTCTTCCTCTTCCCCCCTCTACCCCCGTGCATTAGTAGAATCTATGCAATGGCAGCGCTGGCTGAAATGGCACGTTCTAGACGACCGAGGCCAAACCCTTCATTTTCGGAGGAAATAAGGAAACCCCAGAGAGGGGTTACTTTTGAGCCCAGTCAGCAAGAGTTATTTATTGAGTGCTTATTATGGCCTTGTGTTCGTTCATTCATTTAATAAACATGTATTAAGCGCCAACTGTGTGCCAAGCACTGGGTTAAGTACTCGGCATACAAAGAATGGCAAAAGAGAGCCCATGTCCTCCAGGAGCTCACAATCTCGTGAGGGAGATAACATGCAAACAGCCACGTATTTGGGATTCATTTATTAAGTAAACGTGTATTTGAGTGCCTGCTATGTGTCAGGCACTGTGTTAAGCACTAGGGATACAAAGACAGTCCCCTGCCTTCAAGGAACTAAGAGTCCAATGGGGGAGACCACAGGCAGACAATCACGTGCAAACAGTATATTCAGGATAAATTGGATATAATCATGGAGGGAAAGCTCTAGCACTAAGGAGGATTGGGAAAGGTTACTTGCAGAAGATGGGGTTTGAGTTGAACCTTGAAGGAAGTAGCTTCCTGTTAACTACAGGATCACTGTCTCTGGGCCTTTGCACTGGATACAGGAGCTGGAATTTACTTCCTCCTCACCTCTATCTCTTAGAATCCCTAGTTTCCCTCAAGGTTAAGTTGAAGCACTACCTTCTACATGAAGCCTTCTTTACCTGGTGCTTCAGCTACTTTCCCCAAAAGTCATGTCCTATACGTTTTGTATCACAATGCCATGTCCACAGCGAGTATGTAATAAATTTTTGTTGGATTTAAGTCCTACTAAACCAGGCCGTCCTATCTCTCCTTTCTCTTGCAGTGTATCTGTTTTAGCTGTGTTCTTTAGTCAAGCAAGAATATTTTCCAAACCAAAGAAAAGTTATTTTTCTTTGCCTCTCTGCCTTAAATATTTTGAAGAATATATAAAATTTTAATAAGAGGGGAGTACAGGTATGAGGTGTATTTATATGGGTCTAGGATCTCCTTAATATTGAAGCTCCATCCAGTGTTGCAGTTTGCAACCCATTCATCCCTGCTCATCCTCAGATTCATGTCCATGTCCTCCCACAAGTCTGCTATGGGAGCTGTACCTACCTTGCAGGAGATCTTCCTTGATTTCACCTGTGCAGTTATTCTATATAATAATTTATTAAAATGAAACTTCTCTATTATAATAATTATGCTTCACATTGCTCTAGAATTTATAGAGCATTTTCGCATCTCATTTGATCCACATTTACCACAACCCTATGAACTGCAGTTGGGGAAAGCGTATTTGTGAGTTCAGTTGGTTGGGGGATTTGTAATTCTGAAAAATCAAATGCATTGCTGATGTAACAAGCACTTAAAAAAGATCTTTTCTGAATCGTAGTGCTGGAAGTGGTGTACACATTCAGCCCCGATACCGGCAGTATCCCCAGCTGACAAAATCTCAGGTGTTCCAGGCTGAGCTGTTAAGTGCTACAATGTGGTTTTGGATTCTTTGGCGTTTTTGGCATGATTCAGATGCTGTACTGGTAAGTTTTGGAATATAATTTTTTTTATTTGTGAATATTGATAAACACTCAAAAACTTTGTTCTGTATCCTTCGTTATTGTTCGTGATTTGTAGATGCCAATTCTGCTTCTGCTATAGAGTATAAATGCCATACTAGTTCAGCCTGGAATTCTCTGATGGGGGACACTGTGGGAGATCATGCTTGCCTTCTAGGACATCAATTTTAAAAGTTAGGGATGAACTATCAGATATCTTCGCTTTCTTTAACACAATCAGTTATGAGTCAGAGATCCAAGATACCTAAGATATAAGATATCTAAACTGAAGATTCTTAATCTGCGGTCTGTGGGATTTCAAGGGGACCTTGAACTTGGATGGGAAAAGAAAACATACTGATTTTTACTAACCTCTAATTGAAATCTGGCATTTCCTCCAGTTATTTAAAAAACATTCTGAGAAGGGGTCCATAGGCTTTGCTAAAATGTCAAAGGGGTCCATAACACAAAAAAGATTAAGATCTAACCTAGATCTTTCTTAAACACATTTATATATTCAGCTTCTTGTGCATTTTTGTTTTTTTGCGGGGGGGATCAAAAACTTCTATAAATTTGCTGTCATTTTTGTATTTCGAATAATAGGATCTTAGGGTCATAGATTGAGAATTTGAACCTTAGAAGTCAAATAGACCAACCCACTCATTTTATAGATGAGGAAACTGGTCAAGACACTCACATAGCAAGCGGCAGAGCTGGGATTTGGAACTCAGCCCTCGGACCCTACATTCAGCACTCTTCCCATTGTGCCACCCTGCTTCCCATCTTGTCTAGAAAGGTGTCATGAGAGACTGTCAGAGGTCTTGATAAAAATCTAGGAATACTCCACCTGTGACATTTTCCTAATCTGTCAGTATAGTAACCCTATCAAAAAAGATAATAAGGTTAGTCTGGTATGACCTATTCTTGATGAACTGATGGCTCTTCTTGATCACTGCTTCCTTTTCTAAATTCTTTTTTATAATACATTCTAAAAGTCTTGATTGTTCAAAATAACCTCTTGTCAGATCTTCAAAAGTGGGATCAGAAGCTGTTGTTAGGACCACTAAGAAATAGTTCCTGAATAAAAAAGCTACAAAGGAGTGGCTATGTCATGTATCCTGACCAAATAAATTAGGTCCTTCTTGCATGATGGTGGAGCTTAAGGGTCGAGAGATAATAGAATACATTATCAAAGTAATTGTTTTCCCCAGTTTATGAACCATCTTAGCTAGCAGCTTAGGGAGACTGCCACAAGTCACTGCATGTAAACCAGCTAAAAGGAAATTATCTAATTTGGACGTATCTCCTATTTTGCTGTTTAAATAGTTACTAATGGGGCTAGGATCATCTCAGAGGACTAGCTGGATGAGGATCGATCCCTGTGGCAAGTGTAGTTCCAAAGTTCAGTCTGTAGTCTGGGTCTGTTTTTAAGGTCCTGTCCAACTCTTAAGATTCTGTTTAACTTTAAACCCAGAATATATGATAAGTGGGCTTTTCATGACACTTCCCATGTCCTATAAGTTTAAACTTAGCCTTTCCTTCAAGCTTCAGTGGCTTCCCCTTAGTATTCTGCTTTTTAATAAACAAATTCATACTTATCCTATCTTTACCCATCATGATTTCATAAACTTTTCTCGTATTATGTCTTAGCTCTTGTCTTTCTGGACAGTTTTTCCTTTAGTTTGTCTCACAGTGAAGCCTGCCCATCCTCATGTCATTTTAGTTCTTTCCTGAACTTTTGTCAACTCATGTATGGCTTTCATGTGTTGTAGCAGGAAATGAGGTGTGTCCCCTCCAGCTTTGAGATTCTTTTAATTTTCTTGTCCTAGTTTGCGTGAATGAATGAATGAATGAATTTATTAAGTTCTTACTATGTGCAAAACACTGTGCCACATCCTCAGCATGCAAAAAGAAAAGGCAGTCCTTGCTCTTAGCTCACATTCTAATGGAATCCTATTCTATGTGCAAAAGTACCATGATTTTATATAAGAATAGGGTAATGCTTTCTGGCTTATTTCTTTTGATGTCTTTTGTTTTTATGTAATCTGAATTTCCTCCTGTACCTCTTCCCCTGACCACTCCTAGAGAACTGTCCTTTATAACAAAGATTACTGATTTTTTTCATCAAAAATATCTGATGTTATATGCAATATTACATATTTGTCACAATACCCCTCTACCTTTGCAAAGTAGCGGGATGAGGTATCTTATATCTTTTCTTTGGGGCCAAGCTTCTTCTTTGTAATTTTTTTGCAACATTAATTTTTTATTGTTTTGTGGTGGTAGTTCTTTCCATTTCCATTGTTGTAGTCCTATATATTGTTCTTGCTCTGCTTATTTTATTTGTATCATTTCATGTCTTCATACTTCTGAGTTGGGTGACTTCAATTCTCTCAACAAGATAAATATGTGAAATCAAGGTACCCATGGTGGCAAGAGAAGAAAAGGTTTGGAATAATCTTTAGATTAGATAAGGAGTTGATAAAGGTAGAGTAAAAGGATTGTGGAACAGCATTGAAGTGCCAGCTGATATTACGTAACATGAATTTGTAGTGTCACAGAGACTGTTCTGTGGAAAGTCCAGGCATAAAAGAGAGGTGAGGTTGAAGGTGGTGAGGTTCTCCATCCATTCTTATTTGTGGGTGCCTGGCCTCTTCATCAGAAGCTGAGGCCACTCAGAGATCAGCTTAGCAATCCACATAGGAACAAACAACTGTATGAAGAATGCATATTGTCCAGGTTATATTGAATTATTCTATCAGTACATATATCTTGGGCACCTCGGTGGTGCAGTGCCTGGAGTCTGGAGGATCTGAGTTCAAATGTGGCCTCAGACGCTTACTAGCTCTGTGACCCTCTAGTATCTTTGCCAAGAAAAATCCAAATGGCATCATGGAGAGTTGGAAATGACAATAAAAAACATGTGTCTTGGATAACCTCTACAGGTAGACAATAAATTGGGTCCAGCATTGAGGAAGAGCAGGCTGGATTGTATTTGGGAAATCATACAGTGCCTCCAGTCAACCAATCTGTGCTTTACAAAGATGGAGAGGTTTAAAGAATTCAGTCTACAGCACAGAGCTGAACAGGTCACAAATAGAAGAAAGGTTAGGACATCAAACAGGTTAAGCAGTAGCGTTCGGTCATCAAGTATGAAAGGGGACTGGGAAAAAGGAGGAGTGCCAGAGAAGCGTGCAGCCAATTACCGGGGTTATTTTCTCTTGGGTAGATAATACTGTTTCTCACTATTTTATGTTTTTTTTTTTTAATTTGTTTTCTCTAGTTAAATGGATGTGTGATTTTTTTTTTTAAATTGTTTTCACCAGGGTCATTTTCCATATCCAGATCCTTCTCAGTGGACAGATGAAGAATTGGGTATTCCCCCTGATGATGAAGACTAAAGCAATGTCATCACTACTACAAGTAGGTGCTACCAAGCACCTCATTTCCCATTAATTACAACTACCTTTCAAATTTAAAAAATGTGTAATTGATGTTATTCTTTTTCACCATAATTGTCACTTCACAATAAATAACCCCCCTTCCCCCCATGGACTCTTTTTTTTTTTTTAAATAACAAATGAGTGCAGTAAAGGAAAACACTTGGCTACATCTTAAAATGTATGCCTCATTCCTCACCCATAGAAAACCACCTTTCTTCAGAGAGGTTAGAGGCATGTTTCGCCATCAGTCCTCCTGAGTCAGGATTAGACAGTGCATTAATCAGAGTTGTGAAATATTTCAATGTTATTTTCTTTTAGGTTATTATAGTCATTTTGGAAATTGTCTTCCTGGTTCTGCTTTTTTTGCCCTAAATTAGTTCATACAAGTCTTTCTCAGTTTCTCTGAATTTTTTATAGTCTGATGTTATAATAATATTCCATTACAGTCTTATAATATGATTTGTTCAGCCACTTATCAATCAGTAGACACGCATTTTTCTAGTTGTTTGCTATTACAAAAAGTGCTGCTATAAATATTTTTGTATATATGGGACCTTTCCCTCCTTCTTTGATTTCCCTGGGATATGTGTGTGGTATTACTGGGTAAAAGGGTATGTACAGTTTAGTGACTTTTAGGAAATTTTTTGTAAGGATTTCGTAGTTTAGTAACTTTTTAGGAAATTGTTTTCAAGAATGGACTAATTCACAGCTGTACCAGTGCTATATTAGAGTGTCAGTCTTCCTGAAACCCTCTGTCACCATTTTTATTTTGGCTTCCCTGCCAGGTGAAACTTGAATTACTTTAACTTGCACGTGTCTTATGCGTAATTTGGAGTGTTCTCTCATATGTTTGTTGATAGTTTGCATTTCTTCTTTTGAAAACCACCTGTTTTTGTTTTTATATACTTGTCCCTAAATAGCTTAGATATTTGTTATAAAAACTTTTTCCCCAATTAACTGCTTCCCTTCTAAGTGTAACTCTGTTAGTTTTGTTCTTACAAAAACCTGTTGATTCTTTGTAGTCAGAATTGTCCATTTTGTCTACTGTGATTCTCTGTTCCTTGTTTAAGGATTCTCTCCCTGGCCATAATTATGGCAGGCATCTCCTTCCATTTTCCTCTAATTTTTCTATGATGTGACCATTGTATATTTAGATGATGTGTCCATCGAGAGCTTCTTGTGTTCAGTGATAGACACAATTAACTTTTGAGAGATGTGCACTCCTTTCAAGATGATCTCTCAGAAGTAGGCTACATGCTGTACAAGACGTTTATTACTTTATTTCTGCTTCTGTTCTTATTTCTTTTTTCTCCTGAGCTCTGTCATTTTTTCTAAATACTTTTCATTAAGTATTCCTTTATTTTGGTTCTGTTCTTTTTTTAAAACACTAATTTATTAGAATTCTGTCCTCCCCTACTTATGCTGAGAGTTTTAGATCTCCAGTGTCCCGCTATCTGCCTTTGGTGGCAAAAATCTAGAGTTCCGACCCCATGGAAAACAATTTATTAGGACATGCTTCATTTAAGAGTGCAGAAAATTGGAGCAGCTAGGTGGTGCAGTGGATAGAGTACCGGCCCTTAAGTCAGGACGACCTGAGTTCAAATCTGGCCTCAGGCACATGATACTCACTAGCTGTGTGACCCTGGGCAAGTCACTTAACCCTGATTGCCTCACCAAAAAAAAAAGAGTGCAGAAAATCAGGGTTTTTTTCTCCCTTTTAAAGTGAGGATACTGAAAAGATCCTACCCTCCACTCCTGTCCCCCAAACAACAACAATCTCAAACTGTATTGTTTGGATTTAGCTAAGAAATCTTAGTGAATACTTATGGAACATTTGCTATGTACTAGCTAATTACTGTAAAAATTTAAACAGATTAAAAATTTTGATGATGTTCCAAATCTAAGGCTCTAAAGTATTTCAAAATCAGTGGTTTAGTAAATTAGTGAGATGTTTGTCTTTTCAGAATTTTGAGGGAGGAAATAGCTAAAATTTATATAGTGCTTTGACGTTTGCATAGCACTGTACATAGGTTATTTCGTTTGATCTTCACAACAAGCCTGTGAGGTAGGTGCTATTATCCCTATTTTACCGATGAGGAAACTGAGGCTTAGAGAGATTAAGGGACATGCACAGGGTCATACTAGTAAATGTGTGAGGCAGGATCTAAAGTCAGGCCTTCCTCATTCCAAGTCCTTTGCTTCTATCTGTAGGCCCAGAGGGGTTATGTTTTCACTCCAACAAATGGACCTCTTATATAGAAATAGTATTTTTTGAGGGGAGCCCAAGGGACAGGTTTCTGTGGTTCCCTTGAGGTGACATCTCAGAAAGATGTTGAGCTTCTTTCCCAACTTGCCTCTTGGAGGATGCAAGATGCTCACTGTTGCTATGTGTAAACAGTGTAGTCATGTATATAGTGGTGAATCCCAGGCTGTGAGGGATGAATAGCTGTCCATACCATTTCAGAATGATCCCTCCACAAAGAAAGGCTTTTGTTTGAAACCCTTTCTCAGTGTTTTTAGGTTTAAGCCAGCCTAAGTTTTTGTGCTAAGGGAACCTGTTTCCTAGGGTTCTCCAGAACTGGGTAGGTCCCTGTGATGTATTTCCTTCAGGGTGTAAACTGGTTTTTACATAAGAGATGAAAAAAAATAAACTTCATGGTAAAAATGGTGTGCTCAGATGATCATTAAACTTATTTTCCGTCATTTCTAGTGAGTGTAGGAATACACAGGGGGAATAGCATTCACTCATAGCCAAAAATTATGTTACAATTTTTCTAGCTTTCCAGTTGGATTAAGGGGGTTGGAGAAAGTAACAATAATACCTTTAAGCAAGAAATTATTGTAGCAAAATGGGATTTGAGAATGTGCATGTTGGGAATTTGGGGAAAAGATTGAACCTTGAGCCCTTTGGGTAGGAATAGTCTCAAGAAAGCTTGAATCTGGCCCAAAATCTGTGGTATAGACATCTTTATGAAAATTCATTTGGAGGTGAGTTTGGGGCAAATTACATTTTTACCAGCCCATTTTAGATGAGGAGGCCGGGAAGAGGTTTAAAATGTCAGCTACTCTTCATCACAGCCTCCAGAGGGAGTGGAATGGAAGGTTACCATAGCAACAGCGTGTGTGTGTGTGTGTGTGTGTGTGTGTGTGTGTGTGTATTCACAAAGTAATTGCACACAATTCAGCGTGTCTGCAGTCTTTCAAAAATAAGATTGTTCCAGTCCTCTTAGGCATTTTGGTCACCTTTTATTAGGATACTTGTGGTCATAACTAATTCTTCCCTTCCCGACTTCCAATTAGTCCTTATGGTCTGTTCTTGCCAAAATGAACTTGATTATATTCTCTTGAATTGTCTTTTGCTTTGCATGTATACAAACCTTGTTTCCATCCAAATTGTGAGCTCAGTGATTTTTTAAAAACTATGAACTTAAACATCAACAAATCTAAATATGTCCGTATGCTAAAAATAAAGAGAATTATATTTGAAACCATGAATCTCTATTCCATGCAGCTTGGTTTTTGTTTTAAAAATGTTATATTGAGAGGCAGGCTGGTATGGTGGGTAGAGAGCTGGCCTCAGAACCACGAAGACCAGGTTTGTTCAAGTCTCATCTCTGAAGTATACTTGCTGTGTAACCCTGGGCAATTCATTTACCTCTTGGCACTTTGGGCAACTTTTTAAGATTATACGTTGCAGAGAAGATGCTAACCTGCAATTGGTAGCAGTTCCCTATGCCAATGAAATTACAAGTCCATTTCTATTCCTAAGAGGATAATACCAACTGTGTTACTTGTCTGTCCCCTTCTGAACTGCCTTCTGTGTATTTTTAATGTTTTATTTTCACTTTTTTTTTTTTTTTTGCATCTCACTTGCTAACACATTTCCCTCCTTTAACTTTCCTCCCCACCTAGAAGAGCCTTCCCTTGGAACAAGTCAGTCAGAGTCCAGCAAAGCCAAGGCATGTATGACTATCTAAAATGTCTGTCTCACTCTATGCCTGTCGTCTGAACCTTCTCTGCCAAGACGTGGGAAACTTGTTTTATCACAAGTCCTATGGAGTCATGATCACTCGTTACATTTATCCAAGTTCTTAATTTTAAAAAGTTGTTTTCCTTTACATTATTGCAGACTCACTTATTTAAGAATACTTCCCCTCCCCCCCCCGCCCCGCGCTTGGCAGACAATTCAGTTCTACAGTATCTAAATAACTAATAACTACCATAGGTTTTAGTTACTGGATTTCATTGGATAAAAGTATTTTAAATCCCGTTCTTCACTTATTTACCTGCAGGGGCCAGCTGTGATCTTCGGGAGAATTTATTTTGTTGGTACAGATGTGATGATGCTAATTAAAGTTAAATTCACATGAATGACAGTCTGCCTTTTTCCTTTGATGATGGGTGAGCTTTGTGCATAGTTAGCAAGCCTTGGGCCAACTGGAGTCATAGCTTAGAGTGGGAAAAATCTATTTCACCTATTACAAGCATATCAGTGTTACTACACATTCAATGTTTTAGTGTTGCTGTAGGAATAATCTCAAGTCTTTTACTCATGGTTTGATTTATGTATAACATTTAAATGTCCTATATATGTGCTAAGTACCAAACTAGTAACTTTTAACAATAAAACAAACCAAACAGGAAAAGTTGGGAGAGACATTTTTTTTTTTATCCTTTTCTCCACGCCCCAAAGTAGAAGTGCTTCCCCTCTATGTCCAGGGAGGTATGGTGCAGGGAGAGTCTTACATCAGTTGAGAAGATAGCAGGATAGTTAAGGGACCTCAGTTCAAATTATGGCTGTGACTCTATTAGGAAGGAGGGAGGGAAGGAGAGAAGGAAAGAGGAAGGAAACAAGCATTTATTACATGCCTATATGCCAGGCACTATGCTAAGCACTTCACAAACATCTCTTTTGACCTCCACAGCAACCCCGAGGGGTAGGTGCTATTAATATCCCTATTTTAGAGTTGAGGAGGTGGAGAGAAACAGGTTATAAAGTGACTGCCCAGGGTCACTCATCGAGTAAGTGTCTTGAGTTCACATCTAAACTGGATTTTCTGCCTCCAGGCTCTAACTCCCATGCCGCCTGTTTGTCAATAGGTAAATCACAACCTCTTTGATCCTTTGTTTCTTCTGCTGTAAAATGAGGATAATAACTATGGTATTGTGAGATTCCAATGAGGTGATATACATATAAATTGCTTTATAGATCTTAAAATATTATAAATATCAGCTGACATCACAGGGACTGTGTGATATAGTAGAAAGAGCCCTGGGTTTGAATCCCCTCTCTGCTACTATTAGCTGTGAAAACTGGGCAGAGTCAAGGGTTGTGCTGGAGCTGGTTCTAATAATGCAAGTTAAACTTAGAAGGGGTATGTGTGTGTGTAGACATTTTTTTTTCTGGAGAGCCAGTGGTTAAAGGTTTACTAGCACAACCTCTTCATCCATCTAGGCTTCCGCATCCCAGCTGTAAACTAGGGATCCTCCGGAGAGACAGGTACAATCTAAAAGCAAATCATAAGTGGGGATTTGGAGTCAGGGGACCTGGGTTTGAATCCTGACCCTACTAATTACCCTTGTGAACAGTCAACAAGCATTTGTTGACTATGACCATGGGCAAGTCACTTAACTACTCTGGGCCTCAGTTTCTTCAGCTGTAAAATGAATGCCTGATGGATCTAAATACGGTGCTCCTCCTTAGGCCCTTCTTTCAGAAATCAGCGTTTCTTGAACTATCAAGCCTTGTCAGAACTTTGCTCAGGCTTTCTCACAGATGGAGTGTCTTCCTTCCTCCAGGAGGGTTTTGAAATCATTAGTAAGGGTTTACTTAGCAGTTACTAGCTTGAGTAGAAAGACCTATCTTGCAGTAAGTTCTCTCTTAATGAGGAGAGGCTGGTAAGAAGGAGTGGCTACAAAGAGAAGCATTAAGTGGTGAGATTTGTGGATTCCTTTCACTTTGTTCCTGGATGAATGGGGCTGGTGGAAATTTGTCTCAATGCCTCATTTTTCTATAGTTATATTCATACACATCAGCTTGTTTCCATGGACCTGATTCAATCTGAGAAACACCAAGGCATTGCAGATACAAAGCCTCAGGACCCAAAAAAGAAATAAATGGTCTCTGACCTCAAAATGCTTATGTTCTACTTGTAGGAAAAACAACATGTCCACAAATTAGTATAAGGAAAATGGAGGCAATGGTAAGAATGAATGTGGGGATGAGGGAAAGCTTCAGAAGAGATTGAAAGATTCTAAGAAGTGGAAGGAGAACATTCTAGGAACGGTTAAGACCTTGTACAAATGTATAGAAAAGGGAGGGGGAAGAGTAAATTTGCTGGAAGACTTAGTAGTACAGTTTGGCTAGAGAGTAGAGTTTGGGAGGGGCTGGTATGAAATACATCTGGAAAAATGGATGGAAGTCAGATTGTGGAAAGCCTTGAATGCTAGGTAAAGAGTTTCTTTTTGTCTTAGTGGCAATGGGAAACTAGTCAACATAGGAGAGCAGGGAAATAATGTAGTAAAATTATTAAAATTATCTTGGGGATATGTGGAGGTTGCCTTAAAGAGGGGAAATGCCGAAGGCAGGGAAACCAGCTAGGCTACTGTAGTAGTTCAGGTGAAGAGATAGTGAGGCTCTAAACTAAGGTGAAGGCTTTATGAGTGGAGATAAAGGGACTGAAGTGACAGGCAAGGAGGAGGTAGAATCACAAGACTCGGCAGCTGACTGACTATGGCGGGGCAAAAGAGAAAGTCAAGGATGACGGGTGGGAAGATGGCGGTGTTCCCACAAGAAGTTTGGAGCAGGTTTAGGTGGGGAAGATGAGTTTTGTTTTGGATAGGCAGCATCTTTCCCTTATGGCTGGGCTTCAGCTGCAGAGGTGAGCCCACGGGAGCTGCTGAGCATGTGTTGGAGAAAGAAAGGGCCAAGTCCAGAGCCCTGAGAACAGCCCCGTCAACAGGGATGGAGGGATGACGATGATCGAAGAAGAGACTGAAAAGGTCAGAATTCAAAAAGAGCAGTGTCTCTGAAGTGTACAAAAGGGGTCCTTCCCATTTTTTGGCTCATTTCCCCTTCGGCAGTCTGGTGAAGCCTATGGACCCCCTTCTCAGCGTCATGTTTTTAAATGTATGAAATAAAATGCATAGAATTACAAAGGAAACCAATTCTATACTGAACTAGTTAATGAAGTTCACAGGGCTCAGGTTAAATAAACCCTGGCCTAGGAGAAAGAAGGAGTGATCAACAGTATCAGAAGCTGTAGTGAGGCCATGGACAATGAGGCCACGGAATTAACTGGTAACTCCAGAGAGCAGTTTCAGGTGAATGGTGGGTTGGAAACCAGATCAAAAGGGGTTAAAAAAAAAGTTACAGGAAGATAGCTTGAGGGGATAGCAGGAGCTGCTTAAGAGTCTTCAGAATGGGTTATACCTGAGCATTTCTATATACAGCAGAGAAAGCTAGTATAAATACAGATGATATCTAAGATGAGAGAGGGCGGACATCAGTGGATCAAACTCATGGAAGAAACGAGATTGAGAACACCAATAGGGTAGTTAACCTTAGCATGGAGAAACATGCCAGGGAGGGGGGCAGAGAGGACACTGATGTACCCAAAAGGGAAGTAAAGCCAAATGTCTTTTCTGCTCCTCCAGTTACCTGTACATTTGCAGGAGTATAGGATTTAGAACTACAAATGAGATGCAAAGGGGTGGAGTTTTACAGATGAAAGAAGCCATTAGTGGCTGAACAGAGAGGTGGTAGAAGTGTTCACAGTGTCACTGGGGATGAAGATCAAGCTGTATCTTCACGGTGGCAATGAGTAAATTTGTTTCTAGTAAGAATGCATAGGGACAGAAAATTCACTCACATGTTTAATAAAAATAGGTTAGCCAAGGGATATTATTAACAGGAGTAATTTTTCTAGCTTTCTAGTTGGGAAGTGGGGTTGGAGCATAAACACATCTGGAAGGAATAGTGGCAAAGATTGTATGTATGTATAAAGGATGGATGAAGAACACCAACAGAGAATGTATTTATGAAAGGTGGGAGAAATACAAGGATTTCTTGAAGGTCTCAGTGCTGTTTTAAGCTTTAATGCTTATTAATGAACTATTATCATACCTTGAAGCTATTAAAACTTAAAATGGCACCAAGACTTTTGGGACATCCTTTATAGCAGGGCTTCTTAAAACTATCCATATGGGGTCATGGTCCACCGTTTAAGAAGTGCTGCATATGACCTGAAGCCCTTCAAGTAGGGGTAGCCCTGAGCAAACATCCGAGAATGGATTGTGGAAGCAGCAGGTTGGGAGTTGGTTGATTTGAGTTCAGATGTTCTACTACTTGCTGGGTGACCATGAGAAAATCACTTAACCTCTGTGGCTCTTATTTTTCTCATCTGAAAAAAAAAAGCAATAGGGATATACTAGATCACTTCACAGGTCCCTTTGAGCTCTATATCTATGATTCCATGACTCCTACTTGCTTTCTACTATAGTAAATCTGGATCTGGTTTTTGGAAAATCCTCCTCCTAAGCTAGCATTTATACTGTACTGAACACTTTACAAATATCTCATTTGATTTTCACAACCACTCTGTGAGGTAAGGGTTTTCTCATTTTACATTTGTGGAAACTGAGGCAAACAGGTTAAATGACTTGCCCAAGGTCACATACCTAGTGAACCCCTGAGGCTGTATCTGAATGCTGATCCTTCCTGACTCCATGGTGCCACCTAGCTGCCCCGACGAGACTGTAATGATCTATTATGAAGAACACTCAATCTGAAACCAGAAGATAAACATAGGTCAGCCCCTATACTGTGAAGATTACAGGATGACATAAGAAGTCATTGCCAACATCATAGGATTTCACAAAATCCATTCATTGCAGAGGCTGCACTAAGGAGATGAACATATGTGGCCACCTACAAATACATTAGCATGTGCTGCCACTTAGGAAGGCTGGAACAGTAAAGCCACGGCCTCTTTTGTACCCATTTGTCTTTGAGTTTGGGGTACAGCTTTCTGTCTCAGATACAGATGACTCTCTGGCTTTTGCCACCCTCATTGACTCCTTTAGATACTGTGTAGTATGTAGTACTCTAAAAACCTGAGGAAGGAGTCTTGTGGGGTAGGCCTGGCAAAGACACCCAGCTCCAGTAGGGGACGTGATGATGTGCTTTATTTCTGGCCTATTCAAATATTATATGTATGTGTGTACACACACACACTCACACACACTGTAAACAACATTACAAAAACAGAGTGCTAGATTTGTAGTTAGGAAGACTTGATACCATTGGTTTGTTTATAGGCAAGTCACTGAAATGTCTCTGAACCTCAGATCCAAACAAGAGGTATTCATCATTTTGGCACTGACTGTTCATAAGGAAAGGTCATTCTGTGAACTTGTATAATGTGCTGTCTTGGCAAAATATGGCATTGCCATTTAGAAATTATTAGCTCCAGCAGTGTATTGCTGCTTAAACAAACAATTGTTCAAAAATTTTCTTGTTCAAAAAGGTAGTTTTACTTGTGCATTGTGCATTTATCTAATCATCGTTGAGAATGCTATATTTAGTTCTGATCATTTGTGTGACTTGGTGTATTCAGTTAAAAATGGTTGTTCTCTTAGAAACTCAGACCTTAGATAAAAGTTTCATTACCAGTGCTCTGCCTTCTTTCCTAAAATTTTGCATAGCACACTGATACACTGTACTGAAAACATTCTCTCAATAAATTTCAACAATCTGGCAACGAATGAATCAATTTCCACAACAGGACCATTTTTCATAAAGGAGATAATATTTGGAAAACACTTAGCAAAGTGCCTGGCACATAATATGTGCTATATGTTATCTATTATTAATTATCATTATTTAAAAACAATCACAGGGTGCTCTTCTGGAGACAAAGTGTGTAATTTTAAGAGCAGCCACTTTACACAAAGGGTACATCTAGGTTGCAAAATTACAATTGGTTCAAAATACAGCATTGCCTCTCACAAAATATTACATTACCAATAACATTACCATCCCGTGCACAATATACCAAGTCATTAGCCTGGTAAATTCATTTTAGGAAAAAAAATCATATAAATCAGGAAGCAGTTAATATCATGTATGAAATAATGATCAAAATTCCTTAGCTGTCAGGTTTAGAATCTTGCTCATTAAAGCTGTTTGAAAACACACAGGACAATTTACTGTTTTGCTGTTACTGAATGGCAACGCTCATAATAATGACCTTGACAAAGACTTCTCCATGCAGTCAATCTTTATTATAGCAGTATTCTCATATTCACATCAAGTACATAGAACTTTTTGCCTTTTATATAATACAGAGTTCTTTAAATAACTTTACACAGAAATAATTTTTCTCAATCTGAATTTCAGTTGTTTTGTTGTTTTAAATCTCCATGCTCTCTAGCCAACTGAACAATATTTCCCATTGTTTAAATTTACATGAGAAAATACTCCAAGGTACAAATGAAGGGACCTGAGTAGGAAGGGGACCCAGATATAAGGAAAGGCAGTGGGAATCAAAGAAAAGTAATTTGAACAAGCAATCACTTCATGACAAGAGGATAGGAAGGGAATGTCACCAATCTGAGTTTTTTTTTAATGACTTGAAAAAAGTTAAATAAAATTACTTGTGATTTCTGCAAAAGCAGATATAGATACCTATGGACAATTATGAAAAGACCCCAAATTTTCAATGCCTATATACCACAAATTCTATGGGACCCTCTCCAAACTTTGGCAGTAACACAGTGGAGAGGAAGGCTTGCATATGTTACTACATAATTTAGAGTAATAGGGTGGGAAGGTCATTTAAATGAAGACTTTCCCCTTCTTCTCCCTATTGGAGCTATCTTCAATCCAGGATATGCATGATAAAGGAAACAAAGGAAGCTTTCTCTTGCACGATGTTCAAACCAAATAATAACCACAATTTTTTTTTAGCTAAACTACTGAATGTGACACACCAAGGGAAATATGTCAACAGGACAGTAGAATTGAATTCCCCATATGATATGGGAGAAAGATCAGTTGTACCCTTCTAGGAGAATCAGCTCAGTTGGGGGGGGGGCTGTGGGGAGAGGGAGGTAAAGAAAGGAAAGACAAAGTGTGCAAACTGACACATGAGATCATCACATACACATCACTGAGATTTAATCCTTCAAATCTAGGTGGTGTTAATGGAGACCAAGTCTGACCATCAGGTCATTACATGGTAGAACAAAGGGATACACTGAGGACCTAATACGTTTTCAAATGATGTAAAAACATAGCTTATATATGTACAAGTATGTAAACTAATGATAGAACATGAAAATAATAAGACATGTAGGTTGGACATTTGTTAGAAATGAACAAGAACAAAAAGGCTTCAGTTTAAATAGCTGGTTTCAATCAGGTAAGGAGCACACAAAAGGATTAGGAAGGAATGATGTGTTTTATAGGATTTTTTTTAAAACTTCACAGCTTTGAATAAAAAGCACATTTATTGCACTCTTACATTTTATTTCAGATAATTATAATTTATTTCCCACCCTCATCACCGTATCCCTTGTTCCTGTAACTATTCCCTCCCTACTCCCTCTAAATACTCACCACTCAAGTTTGGTCCGTTTTCCATACATTTGTGCCCAGATTGAATTTCAATGCTTAAGCTATCCTGAAATTTCCTCCTAAGTCACACACACACACACACACACACACACACACACACACACACGTATTCAACCAGGGTTTAACATATACAAATGTAACACAGAATATTAGTCAAAACACCCCCAACCCTAACTTTACCCCTCCCTCAATAAAAAAAGGAAAGATGCTCATTCCTTTGCTTTGTTTTCCTCTATGTCAGATGCAAATTTCATGCCTGATTTTCTTAAACTATGGTTAAAACATGTTAGACAGGGAATGGGGATTGGACAAAGTGTCTAGTCTGCCAAGGTGATCAGATGGTTGGAACAAATCTCTAGTAATACCAATATTTCATTCTTTATTGGCAAGAGTACTTCTACTACAAAAAGTTATTTCTTTAAAACAAATAAAACACACATAAAACAAAAAAATCACACCCAACATCACAAAAAAAAAAAAAGGAAACACACTTGGATGTATCCACAGGCACAACTGGTTTGACCATTAAGATAGTCAAAGAGAGTTTTCAAAAAAAACAAAACCCCACAAACCATTTTATTTAACCAACAATTAAAAACAATACAAAAAGCAGACCTAAATTGACCATTGTAACAGTTGTGCATTTAGCAAAAGGCTCTGCTTTAATCATGTCTTTTCTGAGGTGGGGACTAATTCAAAGACATAACCACCCATGATTAAAAATTAAAAAAAAAAATCACTGCAATCCTGATTTAAGAACTAGCTAAATCTCTGTCCTGCTTACCTTCTTCAATACTCTTTATAGGGACTGTTATTGCTTTTTACTATGACTGATATCATTCTAGAATAATCAGTCTCTGCCAAAATCGTGTGTGTGTGTGCGCGTGCACACCTGTGCATGTGTGGGCTGGAATTTGGTAGGAACATACCAGAGGAAAAGAATAAAAGAATAAAGATTACCTTCTTAGGTGCTGATACATCACAAACATCAGTATTTAAAGTTCTACTGAAGCTAGAAATGAGAAAATGAACACAATGGATGTGCCATTATACTCTAGTCAGGGTATATGCCATTGCTGGTAAAATCAGACAGGCTACCATTATATATATAAAATGTGTTAAGAAGGGGTTCTACTGAAGAACCCAACAACTAAGTAGTATGTTGTAGATTTTTTTCTTTTTTTGGGCAAGAGAAGGGAAGAAGAGTTTGGGCAAAGGGGGCTGGGGGAGAGAAAGATCTAAGAAGCTATACCGTGTTGCCCAATCTTATTCACCTGTCAAAGACCATAGCTTTTTCAATATACTGCCAACATTCTCCTGGGAAAGCAGGATCTCTTGCCCACACAGGAAAGTCCCTTTCCATCTGGCTCTCACAGATTATACAACCAGTGTGAGTAACATAGTCCTATCTAGTTTGCAAAGTCCTAAGGAGGCTGAATCTCAAGAGGGAGGTCCTCACCTGGTGGCATAGACTAGGTGGCTTTACAAAATTTAGACACTGGGTGGAATATTCTACCAACTGCAGCAGTAGTCTAGAAACAGTCGGTGTTAAAATGCTATCCCATATTATAATTTCTCACTTCTCACAAAAAGTATCTGCAGAAAGTTCACACATATGCTCACCAATTATAGAGAATCTTAACTAATTTCATTTTTCCTCAAACATCTGCCCAACATTTCTAGTGTGCAAAACATTCATGGGAATAGGAAAGGGAATAGAAATAATTTCTCCAAAAATGCTGCAATTCTACTTTTAATCCAATGGCTCTATTTAAAAAATTTAAAAATCCAACTTTTTTTTTTGTATGCAAAAATCCATTAGTGGACTCTCTCATTTTAATATCTGGTTTAGGTTACAAATCTAAAGAAGATGCTTTTTTTTTTTTTTTGAGGGAGCAGGGGGGATGATGTCTATGCTGTTTTATCCAAATAATAAGGAACAGCAATTAAAACCAAAGTTACTGCTCTCATGAAAGACTATTTCTGCTATATTTTAGCTTTTATTGCATCACAAAGGCACAGTGAGATCATTTGGCAAATTGTAAAGGTAACTACTTGAGCCTCACACGCACAGTGTCCTCTTAGGGCCTCGAATAGAAGTTTTCATTCAACATCAAGGAGCACATTGTTTGTCATTGGCTAGTTTGCTTTTGTCCCTTTAGCATCTCTAGTTAGTTAAAAAAAAAAAAAGTCTTCCACTGCTATACATTTATGCCCATTTGTCATTCTCAAGGTGCTGATTTGCTAGCTGCTAAAATGGCAACTTGGAAAAATAAGGATGTTTTCCAAAATGTTTGCAAAATCTGCTCTCGTGGCTCAGTGGGTTTGCCTAGATAAAAAGCTAGCGAAATATCTGACAAAGATATGTTTAAAATTTTTTTTTCTGCACATGACAGTTTAGAGACTAATTGAAGTGCACATAGAATATATGCTTCCAGCAAGCCATCTTCCTGAAATCAAATCCATGTTAATAAAGTAATGCCACATCATTTATTTTATACTGTCTCTACAGAGCTTATTAGCACAGTGCCTGTCACGTAGTAGGCACTTAAAAAAATGCTTCTTCCTTTCCCTTCATACAACAGACTTAAGGGTAAGAGTATCAAAATGCAGCACCCAAACAGATCAGGCCTTCCCTGGTGCCATTCTTACACCATTTTCAATGAATATGACCTTTCCACATCTTTTCAATAGTTAGGGCAAAAGTGTGTACTATCTGCCCTGTGGGATACAGACCTTCACATAAAACTGAAATCTTCACTTTATTCATGTGAGTCCTAGGCCTGGGATATTCGAAACTACTTCTTCTTCACAAGGGTAGGGGATCATCTGAATGAACACATCGATGAATTTATTGAGCATATCAACATATTCCAAATGAGAGATGTTGTCTTTTATTCTTCCTATTCATTGTAGCATATCCTGTCAGCATCAAGCACTGAGATGAAAATACACAAATGGAAACAGAACAAGATCTGCAATGGGATCTACAACACTAGTTTTTGTGGGTGCCCAGATCGAGCTGGGGGAATATTTCCAGGGTTTTCGAAGAGCACACTACTGAGGCTGTTGTATTATTTTCAAAGTTACATGGCACTATGATTTTCTTCCAAAATCTCAACGTAAATGTAAAAAATATCACTGCTATGAGTTTCTGTGTTCTAAGTCACACATTTGCTGACAGATTCCCGATACAGTATTTGACAGCTAATTTGCTTACCAGTTCCACACCTAGGCCCTTTATAGAAGGGGATGCAGTACAGACGATCACTTTGGGCTTTTTCTCTCTCTCTCTTTTTTTTATAAGACCTCATTACATTAATCTCCTGATAAATATTATTTTAATATTCAGTAAATGTTCAGGAATCTGAAGAATCAATGAATCAGAACATCAAGCCTAAAACTGAATCCTTTTCAGCTGTTCCCAGTTTTTCAAAAGGTTTTAACTTTTATTCACCTAGCATGACCAAAAATAAGATGAAGGCACTGCAGCCACCATAAGAAAAGCAAACTAATAAGGCAGCAGAATCACAACCTTAAAAGATCATTAATAAAGCAGCTACATAATGTGCACATTACATTGCATTATTCATAAAGTGCTTTGCACAAACAAGGACTGTTTCCTTGTACTTTTCTTAGGAACTTAAAGGTTCTAGTCTATTTAGAGTCTGAAACATCAAATAATAAGCAAAAGAAAAGCAAAGGAAATCCTTTTTAAGATTGAGTGAAAGAAGTGGAAAAGAACAGTTGTGTTAAAAAAAAAAATTAAATGGAACTGAAAAAGGGATTTAAAAAAAAGTGACCTGAAATCACTCAACAATACCCTGAGCTTTGGACTCTGGACTCATCTTCATTTTAAAGCCAGCCTATACAAGTCAAGCTCGCTTTCTTCTTTTCAAATAAGATGGCAACCCAATGAAGGGGAAGTAAAAAGCAGCATCTCTTAAGTGTGTAAAATCTCAAACATGCCCTTCTAAGCTTCCTCCATAAGCAGCTCCTTTCCCTATATTTATTTGCTGAGGTAGTCTTTGATTCAGCATCACTCCAGCAGGTTCTATTTATTTCAAAGGAGCACTGAATAAACTTACTGTTGCTCACTTTCACCCTGGGAAAGAAACTCTACGATAATCTAAGAGGAAAATAACCATATACAGCATCTGTGGGGACAAAGCTTATATATTAAAAATAAAAAAGCAAACACAACATCTGAAGAAAAAAGGATACACCACACACACAAGAAACATGCCAGTTAGAATCATTCTCAGTCTCAGCCATTTCTATATCACATATCTTTGTTCATACGGAATAATTAAGAATATATTTCATTTCAAATTGATTATGCATTCCTGAATATCTGGAGCTTTATCTACTGTGTGAGTGGCAAATTCTGACCACTTCATAAAACTTCCAGCTGGCAATCCTATATTTAGAAATATTTAAAGAAAAATGCATCAGATGGCAGTGAGCTTAAGTAGCTAAGAGTATAGGAGTAGTGCAATAAGCCATTCTTTGAAATAAAAGTATTATTTTCTCGTTCCCTGATTTATTTTAGGCTCTGCCCAATTTCATGCAGGTCCTTGGCCTCTCGTGTTTTGCTGGTTAAGCCTACTGCACAACTAAATTTCTTTCCTACACCCAAGTGAATGATTCTATTATCATTAGGGGGAAATTTAACCAGACCATTCACACACAATCACTTTCTTTACTACTATTATGATTAGTGTTCATCGTCACTAAAAGAATGAAAGATGCTGTGAGTGGGTAACATTTCTGTTTTATGCTGAGATAGGGTAATGATTTCTCTAACCTCATCAGCATCTATTTCTAACAAATAACTGATATCTAGCATCAAAATTCTGCAAACTGAGCACATCAAAACATCCTCCTGCAATTCCTCTCATCTTCATTTGTGACTCTATTCGCTCCCTGAGAAACTTAGTTCCAAAGTTACCAACCTTTTGAAGACCAGGCTTGAGAAGAAAGGAAGAAGGAAAATTAATGCACACACCACCATTTTTATTTTAGGTCACAAACTAGATAAAGGAGAAAACTGGGCAGAGCAAAAGAGAGTGGGAAGAAATGAAACAAGGTATTAGTGTGGATCCAGCCAGAACCATTAATAAAAATGATGTAACACTTGTCATTATGACAAGCTTCCCCATAAGTATACAAACTTTAATTAATGGACATATAAGGTGATAAAAATCCTCACCCCTTTTTTCCTTCTTAAACAAATCATTCCATGCCCCAAATACCACTTTCAGAATGTCTGATTCAGGGGAGGGTATTGTATTTTATTGTGACTCAATTCAACCTGAGCATTATTTTTCATTATTTAATAATCCATACTGGGAAGGTACTCAGTGTTAAATACGTACCTTAATTTTCAATTTATAAAACCACTTACCAATCGTATCCTTTTTCAAATAATTTTTATCAATTATAGTCGGATACCACAGTGGTATCTTGTGCCTCACACACAACAGGCACTCAATACATATTTGTTGATTGAGTGACCTTAAAAATAAATTCACTGTATTGTCTCAATGGAAGTACATTGAGGACCTGGCATATTAAACAACAAACAAGCATTTTTTGGTGGCTGGACCAATGAGAAAGACCCAGTGTGTGTGAACACATTCCAGCCTGCTTAGAAGGCACCCTCAATGAGCCACACACGATAGTTTGGAAAGGAAACAGAAGAGATACCAGAGTAGACCTGGAAAAAAATGCGCTGTATTCCCTTTTTCTCCTGACCCAGCTGCACAGTGTTCCTATACCCCTTCCCAACAAAAAATGATTTTTTGGGGGGATAAATTTGAAAATATGGATGAATATTGGACACACATAACATTAAAAGGGCTATACTGCATTTTTGTTCCAGCTCTCAGAAGGTACACCAGAAAAGGAGGAAAAAACCCCATAACAAAATCCCAAAACAGAAAAAGGAATGATTCTTGTGATTGGAATTGCCCCATCAGATGATCTGCCATTTATTGGCCAGGTGGTTAGAAGGAGAAAAGTTGATCTGCAGACTTTCCATAGCCAATCTCCCAAGCCGTAGCAGCAGTTCCTTCCCATCCTGCCTGAACCCCCAGAGGTCACAACGCACGGTCTCTCCTCTCTCCTCCAAGGAGTGGGCAGGCGTGGTGAGTGCACGTGGTGTCTGTGTTGAAGAAGAAACACTGGCAGCACAGAGTTCTGGTTCCTAAAATGGTCTTCCCTCTTTTGCTGGAGGGGAATTTCATTCTGTTCCACTCTAGCTTATGTACTGAAATTTCTGTATCTTTAAAAAAGGTTTTGAGGAACAGAACTGAGTTTTGATGTTAAGAAACTGTAGGAACACAAGACTTAAGAAATAATAAAGAGTAGATGCTGCCATGATGGTGTGGCTACTTGAAGGCGGCAAATTCTCCTGTGGAGGGAGGACAAGAGCTAATTTTACAAAAGTGTTCTGAAATAGCCAGGACAGAGAAGTAATCTCACTTGAAAGCAGGCTAAGGTTGTACTATATAGATACAAAGTAGTAACATGGTTCATTTAAAACTAAAAGCAGATCATATTCATAATGATACATTATACAATTTATACCATGACTATATAATAGAGTAAAACTGAATCTCAATAATCCACATTGATGAAGGGGAAATAGTTGAAAACTAGAGAATAATAATTTGCTCACTTTTTTTTTTTTTGGCAAGGCAATTAAGGTTAAGTGACTTGCCCAGAGTCACACAGCTAGTTAAGTGTTATGTATCTGAGGCTGCATTTGAACTCAGGTCCTCCTGACTCCAGGGCCGGTGCTCTCTCCACTGCACTACCTAGCTGCCCCTCAGCTACATTCTTTTTGTCATGATGAATAGGTCTATAGTTTCAACTACCTTTAGTAAAGGAATAGCTAGCAAATGCAAATAATGAAGAGAAGATTTTATAATAGTAACTAGGTTAATAAAACATCTCTTTCTAAGAACTCAATGCACTTTCACTTATTTAATTTTATTATCATATCCCTATGACATGGGACAGGGGAGGAATTCTCAATGTGTAAAAGAGGAATTCAAGTACAGGTAGAAAGGTTCCATGATGACTCCACGGCCACACCGTGGCAACCTGAGGATCTCAACTCAGGCCTCCCAATTCTCAGCTAAGTGCTCTTTCCACACTCCTAAAATAAACTCTCAATGCAAGGAATTCATGAACTAAATCACATATCCAGTCTAAAAAACGATCCTCTGAGCTCAATGGGTTTTGTACTTCCTAGGCTATCATCTTGTAGTCATTACCTCGTCCCTGGCTCCTCCCAACCAACTAGAGGGGGCTAGCTTCTCCAATCCCATACATTATAGCAAACTCTGGGAACTGCTAACGTCTGACAATTATTAACACTTTGCTCAATTGAACATAGATAATTTGGTTGTACTAGGGTCTGTAATGAGGGCAGTAATCATTATATGAACACACATAGTTTAGGATAGAACCCATCAATACAGTCATAAGTCAATAACTCAATCCACTAAACATTTATTAAAGCTCTTTCTATGTCCAAGTCACTGTATGCACTAACCAGGACACAAAGATGAAAAATAGCAGAATTTGCCCTAAAACTGATTACAGTTTAATAATGGGAATACTAATCAGTGACACAAGGCAGAATATGATGGAGGCAAATAAGGCACATGATAAAATCTGAGGAAAGCAACTCTTTTCGGTTTCTTAGAGCAAGTGGCACCTGAGCCCTTCGGTAGTAAAGGAAGAAAATGACTTAAACAAGTCAGAACTGAGGAGGAAGTACATTTCTAGGCATGGAGGATAGTCTGAATATGTGCAGAGGCAGAAAAGAGAAAGGCAATATTGGGGAACAATGAATAGTTTAGTCTTGTTGGAATGGAGAACGTAGGAGAGAACGTAGGAAGGGTTGGAAGGTTGGGTAGCAGTCAGATTAGGAGCAATCTTGTGTTTTCTCTTTCAGGCAGAGGAGAGCCATTGAAGGTTTTTGAGCACAGGGAGGACATGATCAGACCTGTGCATTGGGAAGATGATTTTGCTGGATGTGTGAGGGGTAGATTAGAGGAGGCATAAAAGAGAGAGGGAGGAGAGAGGTGGAGAAGGAGGTAAGAGATATTACAGAGGCACAACTGACAGGGTCTGGGCAACTGGAGATTAAGGATTAAGGAAAAGGGAAGAGTCAAAGATAACTCAGATGTTTCACATCTTGGTGAATGGGAAAATGGTGATGTCATTAGCAAAACTGCAGGGTTTAGCAGGAAGGAATACTGAGGGGAAGAGATGATTTCAGTTTTGAATAGGAGTTTGAAGTGCCATTGGAGCATCTGGGTAGAAATGTCTAACAGGCAATGTCTAATAGGCAGCTAGAGAAGCAAGACTAAAACTCAGGGAATGGACTGAGGTTGACTAGACAGATTTGGGATACATCTCATAGATGTCATGATCAAAGTCAAGGTAGCAGATGAGATTTACTGAGAGAGAAGAGCTGAGGGACAGAAACCCTTCCTCAGGTGGTAGAAGGAATGAAAACTAGCATTTATATAGCAATTTTTAAGGTTTGCAAAACACATTACAGAAGTTATCTCATTTGATCCTCATAACAACTCTGGGAGATAGGTGCTACTAATGGCCCTATTCTACAGATGAGGAAACTGAGGCAGAGACAGGTTGAGTGACTTTCTATGGGTTATACAGGTGTTTGAGGCAGGATTCAAACTAAGCCTTCCTGACCCAAAGTCCAATACTCTGTCTACTATAATATGTACATGACCCATCAAAAAAGACTAAGAAGAACCAATCAGACAAGTAGAAGGAAAATCAGATGAGTACAATGTCATAGAAACCGAAGGAAGAAGAGAGTTTCTGGACTGAAGGGGGGTGGCCAACTGTCACATGTTGTAGAAAAGGCACAAAGAGTGAAAACTGAGAAAAAGCTACTGGGTTTAGCAATTAAAAAGTATAAACTACTAATTTCCACACATTTGGAACCCAGTTGAGGTCTGATAAATAACCATCTGCTCCAGAGATGTCATTGTGCCTAGGATTGGATATTTTATTCCTTAATTTTATATGCTACTATCTCATCTCATAGAAGAATATGTTTAACCAACCATTAGTTTAGAAAAACATAACTGAAATGAGGCAAATTCAAGTGACAGTAAAAGTATAAAAAATTAAAAGTAATGTATGGTAATCTGGGGCTACCGAAAACATGGCCAATCTGCCAAGTCTTTAGTGATTGCTACCTCTAGAGTAGGAACGTCACAAGAGACAGGGTGAAGACAACCATTACACTGCCAAAGATGGTGTTATCACATTCCACTTCCAATATTTTTAGTATGAAAACAATTTTGGACTATAGCACAGTATTACTATTATTTTGAGCATTTTACTCTATTCCTCCAAATAAGTAATTTTAAAAGATTTGCTATATTATCAAATGTAATTTTTATTCTATTCAGTGCCCAACATTTTTTCAAGCATAACATTCTGATAGTTATATTTATTCTACTAAGTGACTGATAAATGTAAAATGATTTTTCCTAAGCTAACCCTCACTTCATTACCTTGTTTAGAAAAGTGCATAGGCAACATTACAATTCTATTACAATTAATATTTCTTACACTTTGAATTTTGCTGAAAAACAGCCCAAATAAAAAACACAGCCTAAACAAACGCAACTTCTAATTTTTTAAACAAAGATTTAAAAATTTTCTGTCATATGACCACTAGGTAAGAGAACTTGTAGTTCTGTTTTGTGGCAATGCTTAGATAAAATTAAATAAATATAAAATAATCACAAATTGGTATGCATCTTAATTGCTATTAAATTTTTGTAAAAAAGTAATTCACAGCTTCTAATAATTTTACAGGATCAGATTTTATAACCAACCCCACTCTCCCAAACAAACCAGAGCTAGGATGTACACCACTGGCCAGAAGAGGGGAGACTAGAACCACCCCTCCTTTTCCTTATGTTACAGGCTCCATGAAAAATGATATGCATGACATGGAGCAACTAGCCATGGACCAGCTATTAAAAACAATTAAATTCAATAAACATTTATTGTTTATTTAAAAGATTATTCATTTCTTCTAACCTGTATACCTGGAATGCTTATCATACTGCTTTTCAACATAACAACGCCCATTTCAAGTAGGAAAAGAACCAAGAATGTCTGGACTAAGCTAGTTTAGCTTAATTTGAAAAATCCACATATTCCCAGTGAATTCCAGACAATCTCTGTATGGCTTATTCAGACTCTGGTATTTTTGAAAAATTAAAAAATCAGGGACTTAAATGAATGTTTCATTTTGAATTGATCTTTTATTACCAATAATAGGAAAAGAAGAGAGAAGATTCAATTCCTCCTTCTTCCTAACAACTTTGAAAACTACTCTCTCTCTCTCATTTAATTTTATTAGGGGTAGGGCAATAGGCACTTTTAAAACCAGATTCTTTTTTTTTTTTTTTTGGTAGGGAGGGGAAGGTTCCTGTTGTCCAAGATATATACAAAGACCTTCTAAGTTTGTTTGGAAGAGTAAGAGTTTTTAAACATCCTTAAGTTTTTAATTCATCCATGTCTGTTTACTGTGTAATAATAACCATTCTCCATTACAATTCAACTCAAATAGTAAGCAACATTTCAGTGATGAACCTTAGAGGCAGTTATAAATTATATTATATAGTTTTGTTTAAGAGTTAACCAAGAAAATGTGTTAAGAAATATCCTACTGTTCATAAATAATACCTTTGGACCCATTTATTCTAAATGTAATGGTTTCATTTTATGCATTACATTTTAAATTATGACGAAGAAAGATCCTGAATCAACTGGCAGTAATCCTTCAAGTGATTTCAGAGGTACTTAGGGGAATTTTTGCTCTTAACTACATTAGGTTTTTTTTTAGAGGGTCTCCAAGAAAGGGCCATGCCAAAATGATGAAGTCTTTCAAAATGAGAAGTACTACTGAAATGTTGATAACTAGAATATGATATTTTACCAGTTAGTCCCACAATTCTAATACCATAACCAATAAAATAATTCAGTAAGGCAGTCACCATACATATGGAAGTTCAAAGTATATGCTATTCAAAGACTTCATACATATTTTGTTTTTAGGCATGCCATTTAAATTCCACTACATTAAACAGGCACTGTTTTAAATGAGCTCCTTTAAACACTACTATTTTTAATGGCATTTTTATTTTGGTATTACCCCCTGAAATGAAAAGTTAAAATATTTCCTCAATTAAAATTTTTAAAAATCCTATTAGTTATAAATCACTAAAAACTAATTATACATTAATAATTGGAAAAAAACTTTTAAAAATGTGAATTTCAGAAAACAAGTTATTTTCCTGAATGGGAAGTGAAATCAGTTCTCTATAATGGAAGGATTCAAGGTGTCTAAGATATTGGGGGAAAGAGCAGCCAGAGTAGAATAAAAAAACGTCAGTGATGAAGTGGACACATCCTCAGAAACAAAGATGAGACATTTTTGTATGTATGTAACATACATATCTGATATCTCTCAATGTGTGATGTATTAAGATGAACTATATCAATATACATACATATTAAATACACATGTAATAAAAGCTTCTGCTTTGGAGAAAGGAACATATCAGTCTCAAAGTTTGAAGAATGCAACTGTCTTGACCAGGAAATTAGTTCCATAGAATGACTTTCCTTTTGCCATCTTCACTCTCTCTCCTCCAAAGCATCTCAACATGCAGTCACATTTTCAATGTTAATACAAGCTGACATGACTTCCATTAATTAAGTTTTCAGCCTACCTAAATGAGAAGGGAAGAGATAAATGTGAAGTGCCCCTGGGACTTCTAAAGGCCCTTCAGAAAGTTCTGCTCGATGGCCTACCAAGCTTTAGAAAAGTCAGAAGCCCTTTAGCTTGGATCACCAAGAGAAGCTAAGATGTGTTCACTGGTACAAAGAACTAGACAAAGGGAGGAAAAAAGGAAAAAGGAAAAGAAAAGGGAATAGCCTAAGAAAAACTCGAAAGAAGGGTAAGAAGCTGTAAAGAAAGAGCACCGTCAAGAAGAAAGACTGAACTCAATGACAACTATGTCACCAAATGCTCTCCCCCCTGCTTTTCAGTGTTCCATGGACTGATGCCACTTTGTAAAAAATATTATTTAAGCATCTACTATTATAACAGTCTATACAAACTAATGAAACCCTACCGAGCAAATACTGGGAAAAACTGGAATAGCTTTAATTTTACTGGAGAGTTTAGAAATCTTTTGGTATTTTATTGCTTGATAGAAAGAGTATGTGAGAAAGTCTTTTTCTGTTCGTTTACTTTTTAGTCCTTTTTCCTCAACTAGTTATCACAGAGAAATTTCTAAATGCAATGTTTTTCCTACAATACTCATCTTGATCTAAAACAGTAGGTAGCCAAAGGGCAAACACTAATTTTCAATGAGTAAGTCATATGAATGGAATCTAACATTCATATAAAGGCAGCTAGTACAATTTAGAAAGTGTTTTTATGTTTTCTTGTGCAACTGAAAAACTAAAAGAAATGGCATTATTTTGAAGTCTTTTTCAGATTATACATTGAATTATGAAGGATGGAGAATGGCACTTATGTTGACATTGTCATTGTTAATTTTCAGCTATTGGTTGATTTTAAAATCATCAGATCTAAATTTAATGAGTGACAATGTAGTCAGGATAACAGATTGGTTGTGATTTTTGTGCTAGCAATTGAAGTAGTTATGGTAATTTATTTTGATAAGACTGTATCAGGACTGTCTTTTCCACCTTTAATTCCCTCTGAATTACAGTAAAAATTAAAGACATTTTCCATATTAGAAAAGGAACATCATCACCAAACTTTATTAGCAGGTAGGAAATACTCCTCACCCGAGAACATCATAAATAAAATAGCCCTCATGGTAAGAGGATTCTTTTGGGATAAAGAATTTAATTTTAAAACTCCCGTAAAGGATATGAGAAGACAGATGAACAAGGAAAGAAATTACACTGAACACAATGACAAGGTCATTTTTGAAATATGTGTCATTAGAGGTTAAGTGTAATTTGAAAAAATAAAGTATCTGTAATTTCTTTAAAGAAAATTCTAAGGAAAAAAATTCTAAAAGTCCTCACATAATCTGTTAGGGTTTCTTTTGAAGTGAATTTGCAACTGAGGTGAACCTCATATAAGCAAAGACATCCTCTCTATACAAAGAAATTCAATAATATAAACAAATATATTTCATCAAAAAAAGAGATAGATCTCCTGTTCGTCCTCTTCCTGGCCCATACCACCCTTCCCCTCCCCCCATGTATAATTAACATATCTTCCATGGAAAACCAAAATTAAAACATTTTACTTATGAAACAGAAAATTTCATTTCCCAACATATTTGTCAATATCCCCCTGTACATACATTACAGGAACACCTTTGGTCAATGACTTTGCTTACCATCCCTATTACCTGTGGAAAGTAGTTAAATCTACTGCCTAGGGAAGTAAAGGCAATCCAGAGCTTTCCATGTCATAATAAAAAGAAACTTTTACAGAAATTTGATTGGGAGTATATAAATAAGACTATTGAATTCCAGTGTCTTCCCAATTTGCATGAACTCAGTTTGGTTCAATTACAACAAGGTAACCATGATTCCGTCTTTCAGTTTCAAACAAGCAGATGTACTATTAACTTAATCCATAATGGACATTATGTTATGGCTAATAAAAGCTGTGTGAGAAATATTCGCTATACAAAAATAACATTCAGATTGAGCAAATTTGTAAACTAAACAAACTCAGGACAAAATAAAGTCTGGAAAATTGGATATACATTATTAGGTTATTTCATCACAATCTTTGTTAAGTTCCTATGTGTGTTAAAAATGTTTTTCATGTTGACAAATCCAGTGCTAGCAATGATTTTTCACCAGGAAACTGATTCTCATTCTTTAAAAAAATGAATCTGTTCTTTGGTGGCGCATTTTTAAAAAAAATTCCACTGAGTTCAACAAACTCAAAACTAAGTAAGTTCATCTTACTTTTATGTGTCCTGCCCTGTACACCTCCCTTTCCCACTCAATTTTTTTCAGTGAACAGGAAACGCACCATATCCCCCTGCCTGGATGGGCGTTTTTGGAGAAGCACAAGCATACAGACTAAAATCCTCCGTTTGGAAGCCAGCCCGATTCAGTGAGGGTTCAGATGCACTGCGGTGAATTTTTGGCAATGAGCGGGCCAGAAGTTCAATGGAGGCAAGGATCTGAAACAACAAGCAATGAAGGACTAAAAACTTTCCATACTGGAAATCTCTAAAGGTACTGTCAAGCAACATAACATTCAACAGAGAATACAGAATTCTTCTAGGAATAAGTGAGTCAAGTTAAGTAGGAATTTCTAAAATTTGCTGCAATATTTTCCCCTTTACTCTTTTCAGCACTTCCTTAATTTCCTTAAAATAATTTGAGAAAGTACCATTTTCCCTTATCTTCCCCCGTCCCTGCCTCCCTGCCTCCCCACCTGCAAATATTTAAATCAACAGGGCCACTTTCAGTTGACCCGTACAAGTTTGCCAAAGGGGATTAGCAGACCTTAGAAATGTTTATGTCCCACAGAACCATAAGGAAATCACACTATGAAGAAATTTAGTGATGGTGGATTTCCTGCATAATTATAAGTAATAATAACTGACATTTACATAGCACTTTAAATACATGACTTCATTTGATCCTCTTAATAATCCTATGAGAGAGACACTGTAGAACCAATACTGTACCCACGGTGTCCCCAGGCCAATTTTGTTGATCAGTGAATCTCAGAGAGTTAAGTAATTTGTCCAGACTCATACAGCTAGTATGTGTCTGTAGTTAGAAATGAGCCTAGGTCTTCCTCAGTCCAACACTTCTCAGATGGTCAAACTTTCAGCGACCTCAACGTGTACAACAGAGGAGGAATCCTAAAGTCAGCAAAATCTCTGAACAGCTAAAAAGAAGCATTCTAAAACCTATGTTACAAAATCCATAAAATTTAGTCACTTAGAATCAAGTGGCTCTTATTTGACACACAATTTTCAGAAGCCTAATTATTAGGTCTCCTAGACACAGCAGATGAAGAAGAAGCCATTTACAAGGGGAAGGACGGGGAGGAAGCTGCTGGAGGAGGGACAATAACAGCAATGAAACATAAACAAATAACATGACAGAAGAGAAGACGCAGAAACCCGCCCCCAAAGCCAGCAAAACAGGAACACTGAGTACAACTGTGAAGAGCCCTACACGACACAAAAACCTCAACAAGCCTGTTACATCATTACAGCACAATACAGTAGCTGATGTATATAATGAAGGGAAGGTGACAAGCATTTCTATAGTGCCTACTATATGCCAGGCACTGTGCTAAATGTTTTACAAATATTATCTCGTTTGATCCTTGCAACAACTCTGTGAGGTAGATGTTATTATCATTACCATTTTTTACATGAAGAAACTAAGGTAGACACAGGGTAAGTGACTTGCCCAAGGTCACACCACTAATAAGTGTCTGAGGACAAATCTAAACCTAGGTGTTCCTGACTCCAGTTTCCTGACTTAGCTAAGTCTAATGATGACAATGAATTAAATTATGTTTAGCAAAATCTATTTAAGAAGACGAGGGAGTGTGTAATATACTTTTTCTTTTTAACTGCAAATTTAATCACCAAATCTTTCAACATACAAAGAATGACAAGAAAATGACAGTATGTGGACTCATGAGCTTATTTAGTTTCTTTTTGAAGTGCATATTAAATTGAAACTGTAGTAACAAAATATCCTACTTGTGTCCCTTCTGACCTTTTTGTTTTCTTCTGTGCATTTCTTAATGTTTCATTGATGTTCTTACTTATGTAATAGGTTTTATAAAAGTTTCCATAAGAAGGTTTTCTTTTTTTCCCCAGAGGTTTTGGAATGTGAAGGAGTAAGTTTCACTTAGATAAAAAATATCCTTATGTAGTTATTTCAGATCCAGTAACATATCATTAGAGTGAACTATCCTCTACCAAGATATTAAGCTGCATTAAAAAATGGGCCCAGGAGCCTATGTTCATTTATGATTCTTCTGTTTTTGTCTTCGTATTTCCAGGGCTCAACTGAACACCTCACACACGGTAAGTTTTTAATAAATGCTTGCTTTTTGAATGTAAATCAACAAACAAATTATGCTTTAGTACATGAAGAAGCATATAGCACAGGATTACTTTCAGCAGTGATCTTTCACGTTGGCTATTATAAACTTAATACATACACACACATGCATACACATATATGTGCATGTATATATCACATCCATCTACTCATCATATATACATACATCACACACATACATACATGAACTCTAGTATCACCTGCTTTCTGGATATCTTGAACTAGATGTCCCATAGCCATTTCAAACTAAACGTGTCTGAAACAAAATTCATTATCTCCCCCCTATCCTCCTTGAAAGCCAGCTCTCTTCCCAATTTCTCTGTTACTGTCAAGGGCATTACCTTCTTCCCAGTCACTCAGGGCTCTGAAACTGTGTCATCTCATGCCTCACTTGAACTCACCCAACATGTCCAATCTGCTGCCACGCCTTGTTGTTTCTACCTTTACAACATCTCTTGTGTGTTCATCTTCTCCCCACTCATAGATCCATCCCCCAGTGTAGTCCCTCATTACCTCACACCTGGATTTGTTTGCACAGAAGGGTTTGTACGCTGTCTTCCCCATTAAACTGAGCTCCTTAAAAGAAGGAACTGTTTTTTGCCCTTTTTTGTACCTACAGTGCTTAGCCCAGTGCCAGGCACTAAATAAATGCTTGCTGACTGACTACAGAAATAGCTTACTGGTTTCTGTCTCTCCTCACTATAGTCCCTCTTTCCCTTATCACTCCTTATCACCTCTAGGATAAAATATAAAATCCCATAGTTGTCTTTTAAACTCCTTTACATCTTTCCAGTCTCCTTAAAGTTTACTCCCCTTCATAGACCTCTTGATGTTACTCCATCTTCACACTCAAGTATTTTGTATTTTTGTTGACCATCTGACTGCATTTCCATTGGCTGCCCGCCACGTGTGGAATGCTCCTTCTCCTCACCTCGACCTTATTAATTCCTTGGCTTGCTCACAGACAATCTTCTGCACGAAGCCTTTCTTGGTGACTCCAACTACCAGTGTCTTCCCTTTGAGATTACCTTTCGTTTATATTGTATACGTACAGTAGTCATGTACATAGTTATCTGCATGCCGTCTCCTTCATTAAGATGCCGGGACTGTGTTTTTGGATATTTTTGTATCCCCAGAATTTTCACAGTGCCTGGCAAGTGTAAGTGCTAAATAAATGTTGGTTGACCAGCTAACTGACCACAAAAAGCAAGGGAAAGCAATTTAGAATTTTTAAAAAATGAGACTCCTTTTGGCCAGCTGCTTCCCTTTTCTCTCTCTCCATAGGTAGAAATGCCATTTAAGAAAATGGACTCTGTGTTATAGAAGAGTTGATACTTACGTGTGTGTGTGTGTGTGTGTGTATTTATCAACCTTTCTATTATATACATATATATTGTAATTCGTGAAAGATAAAATTGAGCCTTTCAGATAATTTTCTATTCGAACCCCAAATGTCTAAGGATATCACTCTTTACCTTGAGAAAAATCTTAATGTTTGACATTACTAAAAGCCGAGGAGGAACACAGAAATATTATACACATCACAATGCTAGTCCAGATTCAGTCAACACGAAGTCTTTCTTACCTGAGGAAAAAGTGGCCTCTCATCTCTCTTCTTCTTCAGGCACTCTGCCATTAACCTCTTCATGGCTTTTGGACAATTACTCCGCACTTTACTGAGATCTGGAGACAGGTATCCTCGCCCCACCATAAAAATTATCTGGGGTAGGAGGGGAAATTCACAAAATCATATAGCTTGTAGATAAAAGTTGAAACAAACTTGAATACTGATAGGTGAACAAAGTCCAGTTACCTACCAGTCGGTTTATTTCTCCAAAGATGTGTATCATCTCTGGCAGCTATTATAGTAGGTGATGCTGTCTCAAGATCCTGAAGCTTTTAAAAAAGACTTTTTAATCAAACAATTACCTGAGTGCCCAAAGCACTGCAGGGGCTTTATATGATTGTAACCCGTAGTCCTTACCCTCAAAGGGTTTATAATGTAGCTGCCCTGTAAGTTATCATCATATTTCATTTGAGGTAGATGTGGGAGGAGCCTTTCTTCTGCTCCCTATGATGACTGCTCAAGCTTTAGATCCCATTTGAAAATCAAGATGTAAAAAAAATCTAGGTACTCTCCTTTAATGGGGCAAAGGAAGAGAATCTGTGGCCATTGCTAGGATGGATCATCTTTAGATAAACTGTTGGTCAGTAACTGTTTTTCTTTAAAGACAGAAGATAAAGTCCTTAACAGCTACTACAATGATTAAGAGACAAATGAAAGGTCTCACAAGGTCAAGATAAAAACAGCCACTGCAGAACTATGCGAACAAATTGAGATTCTCAGGGAGAGGCAAGGACCAAGCAACACTGATTTATGTAAGTACTAGGAAATAACTCTACATATACAAACAGGGGAACAACCCTGAATGTTGTTGCCATAGCTTAACTGTCCCTGAATTTCAGAGAACAGGTTTAAAAAGACCAGCTTTTTCACAGAAGAAGGGATACAATCTATTGACTAAATAGGACAGTTCTTTGGATGGTGCATGGTCCAATAGATTATTGGCCAAAGACAAAAATCTACCAGTAAAGACTAATGCCTGCTTCTCCCACAACCTCCCCATGTGCATATGCATATGTATGTGTACATGTATGGATCACCTTACCTCTACAGCATGGAAATTAAGGTTTCAATATTGAGAAAAGAATGATATTCAGGATGACAAATAGGATTATTATGCTGCAGTTGATCTAAAAGTTAGATAATAATTTGAAGAGGAACCTAAGGCAGGGATTGAAAAAGCTTTGTTTTCCAAAAATCTAACAGAGTTAAAATCAAATATAAGACTGATAGAACCTCTAATTTGAGAAATCCTTTACATAAGGGAGAAATTAACCATAATCAATCAGTGGGCTCCTTTTCCAATACGAAATGACAGAATGGCAGTGACACACATCTTAATAAACTGATCTTTGAATTCAGACTGGAGTTTTGGAAGTATAGAGAACTATATATATAAAACACAAAATATAGTAACATTATCAAAGGAGGGGAGGGAAATACTTGAATACTCTGAAGTCTGGTTAGGTCTTAGGCAATCATCTATTCCAATGTACTTCTTAAAAACAGGGTAAAGTTCAATGCAGGGGGAAAGTGGCTTTCCCTTTGGATCCCCGCCTTTGTGGCACCATCTCCTATGTTTTCATCCAGGTATGGATTTGTGGCTCATTACATTGAAAACTTCTGCTACTTTTCTCAGATGCAGAGATAGCTCTTGAGAGCCTCTACCAAGAGGGAAAAGAAGTGGGTACCTTCCTTTTTAGTTGTCTTCTATCCATGCAATAGGAAAGGTGGCCCCTTTATTTGCCAGGGTCACTCTGATAGTCTTTAACATGGGTCTGAGTGTTACCAGATGAGAAAGGGGAAAGGAAGAAAGGAAATAAGCATTTATATATAGTGCCAACTATGTGCCTGCCAGGCATGGTACGAAGAGCTTTTTCACAAAAATTATTTCATTTGATCCTCACAACAACCCTGGGAGGTAGATGCTATTATTATCTATTTTGTACAGTTGAGGAAACTGAGACAAATAGAAGTAAAGTGACTTGTCCAAGGTCACACTGCTCGTTAGTGTCTGAGGTCAAATGTGAACTCAGTTCTTCCTGTGCTCTATCTACTACTCCACCAGTTGCCCAGATTAAAAAAGTTGAGGTCGAGTCTTATCCTTGTAGAATGGTGTCTCCTAACCTAGGAGGGAGTCATCTACAGATATCTCTATTTTTATGAACCTATGGAAAGAATGCTCAACTTGGGAGTCCAAAGGCCTGGGTTCAAATTCTGTCTCCACCATAAATCAATTGTGCAATTATGGACATAACCCTATGTGCACTCTGAACATGCCACAGGATGTGTTCATTTTTCTAAAACTCCATTTCTTCAAGTGTAAACTGGAAATGATAATTCATGTACTAACTAACCTCACAGGGTTGTGAGGACTAAATGAGCAAACATATGTGAAATGCTTTATAATTATAAAAATATATAAATGTCTGAAACTATTATGAAATACATGTTTCTCGGCTGGTTAAATGGTAATAGGAAAGAGCAAGGGAAAGAATGAAGGCTATCCACTTTGTTTTATTATTTCTGGATGTCTCATGGGCCTTACAATTCTCCTTTTCAAGAAATTTTCTTTTTGCTAAGGTTTTGTATCTCTTTTTCCAAGCAGCTAATTCTCTTTTCATCTTTCTTTTCTAATTCTTGCTTCTTTTCTCATTTTTTTTCTCTACTATTCTCATATGATTTGAAAAAAGAAATCAGCTTTAAAAAAAACTCTGTTTTTAACTCCTTCAGTAATTCTTGCTGGATTTGTGTGCAAGCTGTATTTTTCATTGAGGCTTTGATTGTAGATGTTTTTGAGTCATTCTCCTCTTCTGTGTTTATTTCCTGAGTTTCCCTGTCACTACAGTAGCTCCTTATGGTTGGGTTCTTTTTCTGTTTGCTCATTCTTCCAAGTCTACTTCTTGACTTTGGACATGTTAGTGCTGGGCTCTACCCACTTCTGGGGGAGATGTTTGGCCTGAGCTTCTGTCCTTTTATATCCTTCTACTGCTTTCACGGCTCAATCCAGGGGCCTTTAAAATTTTTAACGCTCCCAAAATGTGTGAACCAGGGAGAGGTCTGTTCACTGCCTTCCTTATTTTAGTTCTACAAGTTTCTTAATCAGGTTTGGATCTTTTGGCTTGTGTGTAGTTGACTGATAGCCTGCTGTAAGGCTCTGCAAGTTCAGAGTGACTGAACTGGCTCCCCCTTGGTGTGGGACTCCTGCCTTGGATGTTCCACTGTAGGCTTATGTTCTGGATTCAAAGCTAGAACCAAGCTACTACTGCTCCGGGAACAGGACCACACAGCTATATTTCTAGAACTTGGTCCTTGCTTATTACACATCTGGGGCCCATGGTTATGACTGCTCCTCTTTGCTCTGGATCTATATGACTCGGAACTAGGTAGTGGCTGCCAGAGCTGCCAGCTGGCACTCATACTCGCATCGAGTGCTAGTTCAGGGATCCCCTGGGATCTTTTTCTGCGCTCATGCTGTCTTGGCCCTCCTCTACTCCGTGTGAGCCGGAATCCTCTGCACTTGTCCTCAGTGTCTACAGACCTAACACTCTCTTTCTCTCTGTCTTCTTAAGCTGGAGAAATGATTCACTGACCTTTTCTTGGCTTTTCTGATCCAAATGTGGTCTGGCACATTTTCTAGATTGTTGTGGAGAAGAGATAGTGAGGAGACAGGCTCAACTGCTTCCCCTTCCTCCACCATACTGACTCAATCTCAGGAAAGGAAGGAAGGAAACAAGCATTTATTAACCACCTACTATGTGCCAGGCACTTTGTTAAGTGCTTTTCAAATATTATCTCATTTGATCCTTATAACAACTCTGTGTGATAGATACTATTATGACCTCCATTTTGCAGCTGAGGAAACTGAGGTAGAAAGAGGTGAAATGACTCGCTCAGGGTCAAAAAACTAGTAAGTATTTGAAGTAGATTTTAACTCAGGGCTGACTCCAATCCACTGAGCCATTAAGCTGCCTCTGAAAGAAGAATCTCACTAAAAAGAGCTCTCATGATGTCTCACTATGATATCAACTGGTTGTGGTAATTTAAAACCCACGTACGCAATGAATTGCACATAGTAAGCACTTGAATAAAGACATTTGAGAAAGGGGAAAAGGTTAATGTTGTATAGACGGCAGAAGTTTCATTTGGGATATAGGGAGCAGGCAGCTATAGAGTGGTCAAATTCCTTAAAACAAAAACAAGCTAATCCTAAGCACATCCTTTTATCTCCAAGTAACTGTATGGTTAAAAAGATACTTTACCACCAAAAGTAGAAACCAGAGAATAACTCTTGCTATGTGGGACCTGCAGATTTCCTTGCAAGCAATCACTTTCCAAATGGATGGGATACTTTACCACCTGTGACATCTTTTCTTGCAATAGGAATTTTAAAACCAATTTAGAAGAGGGGAGGATAGAAAAAGAGATAAAGCAATGACGGGGGTAACAGTCAATGTATCTGGATTGTAAATAAAGGTACTGTCACGTCGCAGTCTAACAGATCACAGTAGTACTCAAGAGAAAGTGGGAAAAGGGCACGTGGACACAATGAAAGAAGAGAAAACACCCTGGAGTAGGCTTGGAAGGGATGAGGTCCAGGGAGACAAGGTACTTGTTTTCAGGAAAGATGGTTCCCTTTTTATAATTGATAGAGGGAAACTACAACTCTGATGTGGAGAAGGAATACAGAAGAATGAATCTTGCCTTCCCTTGGGGAGACCCAGTTGTGATCTTGCCAGGAGGAAGGAGGCTAGTCCTAAAAGCAAGGGAAGAACGACCAGTTATGGATTAGAAAGGGGCAGTAAAGACTCACTGTAGCTTCCTCCTTACAAAATTTAGGGTAGGCATTAAGGGAGAGACATCTCCTCTCATTCCCATCTATTAACCTCAGCTCCAACTGAAAAAATGACCTCGGAGTTGAAGCCTAACACCCTTCCACATCAAATCATATATGCTCACGGGGATAAGAATATTCCCTGATCTCCAAGATAGTGAGAAATCACCACTTACAGCAAGATTACTCAAGGATAACTTTTTTCCCACACTGTAGAGTTCTCCTCAAGTGATCGCTGGATTTTTTTTAAAAGGACTTGAGCTCATGAATCTATGCTAATTTCTATTATGAACATTAATCAATAAACATTACACTGGAAGCCCTAGCAATTTCTCCAGGGAGACAAAAAAGAGAATGTGGCACAGGGTGTTGTGTTATCAAGTCAAACAGGAAGATTAAGAAATGAAATAACATAAGGATGCACACCATGATTTTGTTAGTGGGCCTGTCTTTTTTTTTTAAACTCAAATTAACAAAATGACAGCATGCTTGCAATGGTCTAAATCTGTGTTAAATATGTAATAAACGACAACTCATTTGTTTTTCCTTCTTATTTTGATATACCTCACCTATCAACTCCATTTGGTTTAAAACATTAAGTATCCATGTCATCTGACTTAAAACCCCAAACCAAGGTAGGTGTCAGAGAGCTTTGAATATAATAGAATAGGCTAACAGCCTAAAATTAATACTGTATTAAACTGGACAGGAGTATACCCATTTTAAAATTTAAAATACTGACTTAAGACCCATGTAAAGCTATCTGTTGATTCAGTAAGAAACTTAATGTGAAGCATATCAATAAATACAGAAGTGAAAACACAATAATAATAAATATCTATCATATATAGCACAGGGGTTATACTTCTTAGGGAGTCTCAGCTACTAATAGATACCACAAATTAAAACACTGAGAAATAGAAACATGAATAGTTTAAAAAAAAAAAAAACAGCCAACATCACACATTACTTGAAAACTTCCACTGAAATGCCTTGACAGACATTTATATAATAATCTATACTGGAAAATTTAATGAACAACAAAACTAGGATGTTGGGATGGAAGACAGATAAACTGAAAAAATCAAAACACAAGCCCTTCTACTCTGGGTATAAGATGAAGGTGAGGGGTTATTGTCTTCTGGCAGGCTTAGGTATTTATGGATTTTTCTTCATAGTTACATAACATAGGTAAGGGGTAACTGATGAAATCTTGAGCTATGGTGCTGTAATGTGAGGCAGTTTTTATTCATGTTAACTTATTTTCTCTAGCTCATCCTCTAAGTTTAATTCAGTTTCAATCTACTAAGAAACAAATATATAACAAATTCGTTTTTTGATTTTTTTGGGGGGGGAGGGAAGGGAGAAGTTATGCTAAGGTGATAGTATACAAGAGACGAAGCAGCAAAAGATGGGATTTAGTGGTATAGGGATAGCTGACATTTGTAGCGTCCTAATTAGAAAAGAAGGACACATTTTTCCCCTATGTTCTCAACTTCTAAAAAATGAAAAAAGTGCCTATGAAGAGGCATCAAATCATTCAAGAAAATCATGCATAAAAGAATTACTACATAGCAATCAATATATTTTCATTACACATGATCTGCAACAGAGTTGGAAAGACATTAAAGCCTAGATGGCAGAGTAAACAGAGCTGATTTGTTTTTAAACATTTCAATGGATAGGAGATTTCAAAAATGTCAACTGTATTTTTAGGTTCTGTCCGAGTTTAGTATTTCACTAGGGCAGTAGTGGGTGGTTATGAATATCAATTCAAATTTATCAATTATTTGTTAATTTATCAAATATTTCAATTTTGTTCAATGAAAGACAATGAACAACGATACTAATGTCCAAATTCCACATAACCTCCAAAAATAGGTGGAAAAAGTGCTAGAAGATCATTTCATGTACTTAAATATTCCATGTGCAGAATCTTTTCACTACAACCTACATGAATCTTTCTATAAACAGCAAAACAAACCCCAAATTACACTGATAACTTACCTGGTCCCTGTTGTTGATGTTTGAGTAGGGTAATTGTCCCGTCATCAACTCATACAGAACAATCCCAAATGCATATACATCTGATTGAAAGCTATATGGGTTTTTATCTTGCATTCTAATGACCTCTGGTGCCTGTTAGAACATAAAAAGAAAAAAAATAGTTTATCCTTCACTTCACTGTCTTCTTATATATACCTTCTAGCAAGATTAGAGCCTGTAAAAACAAACAGTATTTGACTCCCATGGTACAAACATAAACTATCCAAATTCTTATAATAATCGCTTATTTAGTAGCCTAAGCAATGAGAAAAATGAATCGGAAAAGAGGAAAGAGAACTAAGAAATACTGGAAAGGGTTGTAAAAAACTTGATTCAGAGTTTGTTGGCTTATTTTCATAATATGGCAAATGCTTAAGCAGGGTCGATTACATTTGGGAAATTAATGCAACTCTTTCCACAATCTTCAACTGCTCCTAGAAACCAAAACCTTTCTTTAAAAAGTCACTATTGTCCTGGTACCACTGTCCTGTTGTGAATCCTAGAACGTTACAATCTCCGAAGAATCAAAATTCTAGGTGATCTAGAGGGCAATGGAGAGATCTCATAGAGCAGGCTTGAACAAGTGGCAGCTTATGACTTGTGTACAAAAATTCCCCAAGTGGAGAGCGGGAAGAGCCCTTAGAAACCATTTACTTTCACTTACACTTGACCAAAGGTTTCTTCTACAAAATCCTCAACAAGCAGTATAATCCAGCCTTTCCTTGAAGACCTCTTAAGAAGAACTCATTATTTCCAAGGTAGTTGATTCCACTTTGGAAAATTTTCTTTGTGTCTAACCTAATTCTGGCTTTCTGTTACTTCTCTCTGTTGTTCCTAATTCTGTCCCTGAGACCAAGTAGAGCAAGCGTAATTCCTCTTCCATATAACATCCCTTTAAATTAGGGGTTCTTAACCGTTTGGGTGTGACATGAATCTCCATGGACCTTCCCAGAATAAGCTTTTAAATACATAAAATGTATGAGATTACAAAGGAAGCAAAATATATTGAAACAGCTATAAAAATATTTTAAAAGTTCACTTCAGGTTAAGGATCCCAACTTTAAACCCCTAAAGATGGTTGTCATGTGTGCTGAGTAGTCTCTTCTCCAGGCTATATGCTGCTAGTTCCTTAAGCCCATTTGCATCTTTCCTAAAAAATGCAATGCCCAGAACTCAGATGTGGTCTGAACAGGGCAAAGTACAGGGACCTCCCTCTTCTCTGAACCTATGCCAATCTTAGTGTGACCCAAGAGCTCATTTCCCTTCTCTGCTTATCATGTCATGCTGCTGACTCACTGAGCTTGTAAGCCAGCCACGAGATCTTTTCAACAGAGATTATACTTTAGCTATGCCTCCATCAACTTGTATTTGTGAATTTGATCCATAGTAGCCAAATGTAGAATTATAGATTTGTCCCTATCAAATCTAGTCTTTCTAAATTTGGCTTATTATCTAAGCCTGTTAAGATCTTTCTGGATCTGGAATGTATTTAATAGCTCTACAAGCTCCATGTAATCTGTGATCTGGATAGGCATACCATCTATGGCTTCATGCAAGTCAATGATAAAATTACTGAAACATCAAGGAGCCACAGACCGACCCCTGGGGCACTCCACTAAAGACCTCTTCCTAAGGTGACCCATTAATGACAACTCTTTTGGTCTAGTCATTCAACTACTTATAAATCCACCTACCTATATTATTGCTTAGTCTTTATGTCTCCATCTCTTCCACAAAGATATAAGAATTTTTAAAATATTTTGATGAAGTCTAAGTACATTATGTGTTTTCAGTATTCCCCTGATTTACCAGTCTATTTACCTATCAAAAAATGAAATGAGGGTTGATCTGGCATGACCTGCTCTTGATGAAGTCATATTGATTATCAGTGATCACATTTTCCATTTCTAAGTGCATTCCTTTAATAATATGTTTAAGAATTTTGTCTGAAATCTCGTTAAGCTCTTTGTCCTATGATTTGCAGATTCTACCTGCAAAATCAGGATATCTGCCCTTTCCTCAATCTTGTGCCACCTCTCTTATTCCCTAAGATCTTTCAAAGATCACTGACACTCGCTCTGTGATCATATCTGCCAATTAAAAATAGTTATTATCTTAGGATGTAGCTCATCGAGGACTGGTGACTCCAACTCAATGAAGGCAGCTGAGTATTCTCTTACCATCTCTTTTTATCTTTGTTTTCACCTCCCTACTTGTATCCTTCCTAGTTCAAAGAGTTTCTTTCTTGGATAAGGGAACAGAAACAAAATTGGATTTGAATAGTTCTGGCCATCCACCCTGACTGCAGTCATCTCCCTTTTTTCATTCTCCTCCTCCTAGAGAGCTACTAAAAACTTTGTTGTTTACACTTGTGTTCATTACGAGCTTTAGCTCATTATAAATTACATCTCTCACAAAAAGAATGCAAGCTCCTCAAGGCAGGGCTTGCTTCATTTTTGCCTTTGCATCCCCAGCACCTGGCACAGTGCCTGGCACACAGGAAGGACTTAATAAACGTTTGCTTGATTGATTGCTTAGATCTCAATCAACAGTGCTCAAGTAACTGCATGAACATTTTTCTTACTACTTATGGTCTACAATGAACTTAAAGTAAATACTTGATCAAATGCTGCATCCTTTCCTTCATGCTTTATTTAGCCTTTATTACAAGAACCTAGTGATGCCAAAATTTAACGGCTCATTTTGAAGACATTCAAGTGACCATGAGAAGGAATATAAACTCCGCAGCAGCCAGGGCAAAGAGATTTGCAGAAAGGCACAGAGGCAAAGCAGGGCAGACTGACTTGGGAGAGGTTGTTATAGGAAAGTACTGGGATCTTTCCTTTGTATTTTTCCAAATGGAAGAGTTTCAAGACAACATTCATGTTGTGACAAAGAATGTGAAGGACTAGGGGAAAAAGAAGAAAATATTATACCTGTTTGTTTTTGCATATCCATCTATCCCTCCACTCATGCATCCATTTTGTTATATATGTATTTACATAAAATTATATGTATGTATACATATTTATATTTTTTCTAGAAGGCCAGAAACTATTATAAAGTGTAGAATGACAGCTCTTAAATTGGATCCATAGTTTCAAAAACGTATGATATGGACCTGCCTTGGATTACAAGGCACCTCTGCTATTTTAAATTTCAGATAGCATCTAAGGGGCAGAGAGAAACTAGGTGTCAGTCATTCATAGTTAAGAGAGCTTCCTGGTATGGGAAATAACTAGACCATGAAAATCCACCTTTTATTTTCTCACGGACTTAAGAGTTATTCCACCATTCACTGGCCTTATGAGTCACTGAGAAATGAAGAAATGATCCTAAGGAGATGACACAGATGATGAAAGTAAAAAGAGATGAATAATTGCATATGCTATTAGCTTATGCTTCTGTAGCTAGAGAGACCTAGTGACTTTCTAAGTAAAAGGTAAAAGAAAAAAATCCCTTTTTTGCTATATAGTATTTCTTTTTATTTCGTCATCCAGATCCAAGTATAAGATAACATGATCCACATGTAGCTCTGATTCAATAGCAACAGCAGAATATTCAACAGCTACTTGTGACATGAACTCATATCCTTCTTTTTTAACAATTAAAAAAAATTGAGTTCCAAATTCTCTCCTTCCCTCACACCCTTCCCCTATCCACTGAAAAGGCAAGCAATAAGATATCAATTATACATGTGAAATCATGCAAAACGTATTTCCATTAGCCATATAGCAAAAAGAGCAAGAAAAATTAAGAAAGTGAGAAAATTATACTTTAATTTGTACTCAAGAGTTCATCATTTCTCTCTCTGTGGAGGTAGACAGCATTTTTTCACCATAAGTCCTTTAGAACTGTCGTGGATCACGGTATTGATCAGAGTAGCTAAGTCTTTCATACAGTTGATCTTTGTTGTTTCTGTGCACAATGATCTTCTCACTTTACCTGCATCTTTTGTAAACAACATTATGCTGGATTCTAATTTCTAATGCATTATGCTATCTGCTTGTTTTATGGGTGAGTTCATCCCATTCGCTTTCACAGTTATGATTACTAATTGTGTATTTCCCTCCATCCCATTTTCTTCTGTTTATTCTGTTTTTTATCCTGTCCCTCCTCAAAAGTTAGTTTTGCTTCTGATCACTGCTTCTCTTAATTCACCCTCTCTTTTATCATTCCCTCTCCCCTTTTCTATTATTCCCTTCCCCTCCTGTTTCCCTATTAGATAAGACAGATTTCTGTATACAACTGAATGTATGTATATATATTCATATACACACATACATACATATGTATATCTGTACATATTTTTCTTCCCTTTTTCAGTCAATTCTGATGAAAGTGAGGTTTTGTATTGCCCATCACCCCCCTATTTTCCCCTCCACTTTAAAAACTCTTTCTTGTATGCCTCCTTTAAGTGAGAAAATTTTCCCCATTCTCTCTCCCTTCCCCCTTCTCCCAGTGCATTCCTCTTTCTTACCCCTTCTTCTTCTTTTTTTTTTTTTTTTATCATCCCAACATAACTGACTCACGCCCATGCCCTCTGTCTATGCAGACTCCTTCCAACTGCCTTAATAATGATAAAGTTCTTAGGAGTTACAAGCATCATCTTCCCATGGAGGAATGTAAGCAATTTAACCTTACTTAATCCTCTATGATTTATCTTTCATGTTTACCTTTTAATGCTTCTCTTGAGCCTTACATATTCTATTGAGCTGTGGTCTTTTTATCAGGAATGTTTGGAAGTCCTCTATTTCATTAAATAACCATTTTTCCCCTCAGAAGGATTATACTCAGTTTTGCTGGGTAGGTGATTCGTGGTTGCAATCCTAGCTCCTTTGCCGTTTGGAATCCCAAGTCCTCTGTTCCTTTAATATGGAAGCTGCTAAATTTTGTGTGATCCTTACTATGGCTCCACGATCTCTGAATTGTTTCTTTCTGGCTGCTTACAATATTTTCTCCTTGAGCTGGGAGTTTTGGAATTTGGCCAATTCCTGGGAGTTTCCCTTTTGGGATTTCTTTTAGGAGGTGACTTGGTGGATTCTTTAAATTTCTATTTTACTCTCAAGATCTAAGATATTGGAGCAGTTTTCCTTTAGAATTTCTTGAAAGATGTCTAGACTCTTTCTTTGATCATAGCTTTTAGGTAATACAATAATTCTTAAATTATCTTGCTTTGCTCTATTTTCTAGGTTGGTTGTTTTTCTGATGAGATATTTCACATCTTCTATTTTTTCATTCTTCTGACTTTGTTTCTTGATTCTTCATGGAGTCATTACCTTCTACTTGCCCAATTTTAATTTTTTTTTTTTGGTGAGTTAATTGGGGTTAAGTGACTTGCCCAAGGTCACAGAGCTAGTACGTGTCAAGTGTTTGGTCTGAGGCTGGATTTGGACTCAGGTCCTCCTGACTTCAGGGCCAGTGCTCTACCCACTTCGCCACCTAGCTACCCCCCCAATTTTAATTTTTAAAAAATCCTTTTCTTCTGCGAGATTTTGTACTTCTTTTTCCATTTGGCTAATTCTGCTTTTTAAGGAATGCTTTTCTTCAGTGAATTTTTGTGCCTCTTTTACCATTAGGACAACTACAGTTTTTTAAGGTGTTATTTTCTTCAGTATTTTTTGGTGCTTTTTTAATTTACCAATCTGTTCATTCTTTTTTTTTTTTCCATAGTTTTCTTGCATCACTCTCATTTCTTTTCCCACTTTTTCTTCTACTACTTTTATCTCTCCCAGAAATTCTTGTTGACCTTTGGTCCAATTAACATTTTTCTTTAAGGCTTTGCTTGTAGCTGTTTTCACATTGTTGTCTTCTAAGTTTGTGTTTTGGTCTTCCCTGCCACCTAAGCAGCTTTTTATAGTCAAGTTATTTTTCTGTTGTTTGCCCATTTTTCCAACCTATTTCTTGACTTTGAACTTTATGTTAAATTTGGCCTGTGTTTACTTGGGGGTGGGGAGGTCCTGTCCCAAGCTTCAGGCTTTTTGTGCTGCTATTTTCAGAGCCTAGTTCTGAGGTCTGCAAATTTTCGGTGGTGGGAGAGGGACGGTCACTGCTCTGGTCTTTCCCCAGGAAGGGTCCCTGCTTCCTTGAGCTCTTTTTGGACCTCGACTTGTACCAGTTCTCCTGCTCTTCTGCAGCCACAAGTGCCAGAGGTCTTCTCTGCCTTGGAACTGAAACCAGGCCCCTGCTCCCTTGTGAGAGATCACAAACCCTCCTCTCTGCCCTGGAACTGCAACTCAGAATATCTCTGGGCTGAGAGCTCCTGAAACTGCTGCTGTTACGGCTGTTACAGAGACATCCAAGGCCTGCGGCTGGTGTGCACTCCAGACTGGCCTTTACCCGGATGTCACAGACTTCTGTCAACCTCCTAAGTTTTTTTAGGCTGGGAACATGTCTCACCTTGACCTTTTGTTGGCTCTACCACTCCAAAATTTAAAGAGGCCCTATTTTAAAGTTGTTTGGAGAGAAATGTTGAGATAGTTCAGCTGGGCTGCTGCCTCTAATCCTGAACTTTTCAATACTTTTTGACCGCTAATTTTAATTTTTTGAAGGAAAGAACAGCAGATCAGATTAAGAACTTTGCCCTAAAGTGAAATAAAAACTATTTTACTTGATTAAGAAAATTCTAGGGAAAGCTGTCTAACCTAGAGACAGAAGACTATCACAGAGTACCTCATCTGAAATGAAGTGGGTTGTGAGAGACATTTGAATAAAGGGAATGCTGAAAGTTAAGACAAAGAATAATTCCATTCTGAATATGATTTGGATTTCTACTGCGAGCAAGAAAGGGTCTCTCACTGGAACTAACTGTATATATTAACAAGAAATAAAATCTGAGGACATTTAAATTCAGGCAATTTTTTTCCTCTTAGCGGAGGAGGAAATATAATGTCCTTATATTCTATAAGATGAAATATTTAATACTGAAAGTAGTGTCAACTCATAGAAAGATAGCTCGAGGTAATAAAGTCTACTATTGGATATCTCTTTGATCTAAAAATAGTCTAATGGAAGTAGAGATAAGCCCCTAAGTTATCATACCAGTAAATGAATGACAATGAGTATTTAACTACATAAATTAGAACCTTTAGGAAAGAAAAGACAAGCTTGAAACATCTCCTAATTTGCCTCTGGCCATCACCAGTTCAAATCAATCAAATGCCAAAGTATATCTGTGACATTTGCTTTGATCTTATAACTTTAGCCTCAGAATTTCAGGGCTCAAGATATTGATTTTCACCCACCTTCGATACTGTTCTCACATTCAGAACATCACTACGACCTAGTTATAGTGTCTTGATCACCTGGACCAAACTGTCATACTGATACAAATGTAACATGGCACTCTCTTTTTTTTTAGGGCAATGAGAGGTTAAGTGACTTGCCCAGGGTCACACAGCTAGTTAAGTGTCAAGTGTCTGAGGCCAGATTTGAACTCAGGTCTTACTGACTCCAGGACCAGTGCTCTATCTAGTGCAGGCCACCTAGCCGCCCCAACATGGCACTCTTAGTGAGAGAATGACAATAAAAGTAATGAGAACTTTTTACACATATTGTGACCATGGACAAGTGATTTAACCTCTCAGTGTCCTTAAGACATCTCTCTAATACTCTAAGTTATAGATGAGTTGCTAATATCAGCATAAGTGAAGGGGATTCCCATACTATGAGTCCCTTTATACTGACTTTACTACTCTGAATTTTCTTTCAAAAGAAATGTGTAAAATAAACAAAAAGACAAACAAAATAAAAAAACCCAAACCTTTCTGTGGTAGATATTTTAATATGGTAAATTTAATTTAATATGGTAATTTTAAATAACAACTTTTCAGTGTATGCCTATTTTTGTTCCTTGTCAAAGGTCTCATTTTAGATATATGTGCTAATATTTGAACTAACATATTTCTGGTCTGAAATTCAGCTAACAATCGATTTCCTCTTATCTTGTACAACATGTGTCAAAAGAGTGAAACTTACATACTTGATTGTATCTGTGATCTCATCAGTATGGATGTTCCCATAGTTAGATTTTGATCTATCCAGACCTGTCATCAACCCCACCCCCCACCACCCCAGCCCTCTAGTGTAAATCTGGGCAGTACCCTCCTATAACTTCATTACAACAAGGCACCACTTCACTGCAGCCTGCTTACACATATCATCAGTCTCTCCATTACCCTCTGTGCCATTAATGAGAATTATAAAAACAGTACTTTTTAGTATGGCAGTGGCAGCCTCAAAGAGCAAAAAATTAAATCTTATAATGAAGAAACAGCCTCAGTTCTTACCATCCACAAGATAGATCCAGACAACTGTTCAAACTGATGGGAGCCACTCCACCGAGATTTTACTGTAGCCAGACCAAAATCCCCTATTTTTACTGTGAGGTCTTCATGAAGAAATATATCTGAGGTGTAGTAAGTAAAAGAAGAACAACATCTAAATTTTTAACAGTACAAACATCACAAAAAGTTGTAGATGGAAGGAATCTAATTTCTGTAACTCTGTGAATATACTGGTGTAGTTTTTAAACAAGCATCACTTCTTATGACTTTCCTTGTTACCAAGTTTGTTTTAAAAATCTTAAGTCCTATTTAAAACTACATGACCTACTCGCAAGTCCCATATTTTCAACACCAGGAACGAGTAGGTGAGAAGCCATCCTCATTTTTTTTTTGGAAAGCCTAAAAGCATCCCAGAATAGCTACCAAGGCTGGCAGGATGACAACTTTGGTCAGAAACACCTGCCACTTAGGCAGCGCGTCACAACAGTACAAGAAGGTAAGGTGACAGACTCACAAGGGTTAGTGTTGAGGGAAGATAGAGAGTAAACATCTCTGCTTCCTTTTTATTGCCCTGCTTCACGTACTATGTAATTTTATAACTGTGGGCTATCACTGAGCAGGCCAAGAAGGACCTTAAAGTCCTAGAAACTCTGACCTACCTTCAAGTAATTTGCTGGTGAAACAAAAATAAAAAGCTGCTATTAGATAACCTCGGCAGATGCTACTCTTGTGCTGAGTCATTCAGAAAACCAAAGGTTTTGGTAGTAGTTTCTCAAAGTCAAAGTCATGGCTGAATCCCAATCAATACTTAAGTAATATGAAATTTAACATGCAAACTTTTATACAACGGGAGGAAATTCTGTAACAGAAAAAGGCAAGTTGTTTTTATATTCTGCAGTCACATTTCTGAAAGGATACTATTACTCTTGAGGTCTCTGTGGATGATTGACTTGGCATGTAAGTAACTGGGGAAAAAAAGGCAACACAAACCAAAATTATTTTAGCTAGAGGAGCATGACTAAAACCTCTGACTTCAAAATTTATAGTATACACTTAAATCATGAAACAAATTATCATAGATAGAAAGTTACATTGTAATGGTCTGTAGATATGATGAAAACTAAAATTTACCACCAAGCAATTTAAGATTAGAGAACCCTGTACCTTTACAGTATAACCAACACTATATGGTTTTCTATAAAAATAAACTCTTTTAGCTTAATCTTCTATGACTCTCATATATGAATCCTCTATTCCAGCCAAATCAGTCTATTTCTTGCTTACTGAATATGCTTTGAGGTTTTGTGGGTTTTTTTTTTTTGGTACCTCTTTACTATTTTCCCTCCTTGGCCCCTTCTCCACCTAACCAAATCCAACCTATTTTTAAAAATCTCTCAAATTCTACCTCTCTCTCAAATATTCCCATGACCACACCAGTTAGGAGGTACCTTTTTTTCCTCTAAACTCCTAGAGAACATAATGGCCAAACTATTTATTTGTTACTAATACTCAATGGTAAAAGACAGCAAGTTATCTTTCCAACATATTTATCTTATTTCCTTAATTAGATTACAATTTCCAATAGGGGTAGTACCGAATGTCCTTAACTTCCACCATTGCAAGGATCAGATTGCACATATGAATAGTCACAGTGTTTATTCTGAAGTCAAATGATGGTACCTAGGCTTTAATGTTGTCCAATAATCCAATGTCAGCTTTGCGGAAAGGGAGGAGAATTTTTCATCTTTAACTTTATATTTGGAAGGAGTGCTCCAAATTGGATAGAGAGCTGGCATAAGAGCAAGAAAGGTCTGGGTTTGAGTCCTAACTGAGACACACTGGCCTATGACCCTTGGCAAAGCACTTAAAACTCTCAGGGTCCCAGAGAACTCTTCAAGTCTTTCTAAGCTGGTGATCTGCATTGGTGGGGGAGGGAATTTCCTCATTTGGATTGCCCAGAACCAGTGAAACCACCCCCACCCCACCCAAACCCCTTCTATAAGAAAGCCTATAATTCAACATTCAATTACAAATTCTCAGCCAAACATAACAGTATTTTTAACTGATAAATGTTTCTTAACATTATGTATACCATTAAAAAGAATGTTTAATTTTATCATGTTAATAATAATAATAATCTCTTCAGCATTTTAAGGTTTATGAAGTTTTACATATATTATCTCACTTGGCCTTCACAACAATCCTGTGAGGTAGATGTTATTATAAATTCTCATTTTGGGGCAGCTAGGTGGTGCCATGGATAGAACTCCAGCCTTGGAGTCAGGAGGACCCGAGTTCAAATCTAACTTCAGACACTTGACACTTACTAGCTGTGTGACTCTGGGCAAGTCAGTTAACCCCGACTGCCTCACCAAAAAGCAAGCAAACAAACTAACAAACACTCATTTTACAGATGAGGAAATTGATGCTGGGAGGGGAAAGGGAGGGAACAAACATTTATTAAGACTTACTCTGTGCCAGACACTATGCTAAGCACTTTACAAATATTATCTCATTTGAAACTCACCTGGAAGATAGATGCTATTTATCTCCATTTTACAAGTGAGGAAACCAAGGCAGATGAAATTAAGTGACTTGGCCAAGATTACACAGCTAAGTAAGTGTCTAAGGCCACATCTGAATTCAGGTCTTTCTGACTCCAGGTCCAACTCTCTATCCACTTGTACCACTTAGCTGCCTCATAGGTAGAGAGGTTAAGTGACTTACTAGGAAATAGCTGAGGCAGGATCTGTACTTAGGTCTTACTGATCCCAAGTCTAGCACTTTCCAATAAGGAAACCCTCTCAATCAATACCAACAGACATCCACTTGGCAGATTATAGTCTTAAAAGTTGCCTTGGAGACTAGGAAGTGACTTACCAAGGGTCACACAGCCAGATGCAACAAAGATTTGGAATCTGACCCTGAGTCTTTCTGAAGGTGAGGCCAACTTTCTATCCACTCTGACAACCAGCTACCTTATATTAATATCTGTATATGTATACCATCAATACACATAAGAAATACAAAGCTCACAGTTCCATGGCTACAAACTATACCTTTGATCTTAACCAGTCATTCTTCAAATAGGTAACATAAATCCAGAGGGAAACCAGAAGGGAGGGAGAGTGGATGAATTAGTTACTACTACTGAGGAGAGGAGAAAATTCTAAGTGCTGACTGTGGGTCAGGATTATAAAAGCTCCATGAGGAGTTCATCCTGGTATCTTTCTTGGCCCCTAGTACAATTCTTTTTATATAGTACAATGACTTAAGAGTCGTTGAATGAATGAAACTTTGATGTAACAAATGAAAGCTCTTAGTGGGGTGCTGGGAAGCTTTTAGGAGCTAGGATAGGTCACTGGTTTTGGTGTCAGCTCAGCTGGTCCCAAAGCTGCAGCAGTATAAACATATTTTGCTACTTCGTTTCAAAAATTGGTATTTCTATTTTAAGCCCTCTATTTCTAGAGGATAGTTACTAGCCATGCTGGGAAATCAGAAAGAAAATAATATGCCTATATATCTAGCTTCTAGTATTAACTCAAAATGCCTCCAAAATCACATCACTTGTATTGAGGATAATCATGCTATACTAGCACTAAATATGAGTTGAGCCAGGCCTCTAGGAACTGTTCATTAGGTATCTACACATACAAATGCTGGACCCCATTTCTCTTTTTCCTTGGTGCTTAGGAGTGAACTGACATAGCCATCCTAATGGCTATCAAAAGGTATTACACATCCTTATCATATAGCTGCCAAATAACCTACTTTCTCCTCTCATAATCTGGTTCAGATTTGTCAGATGCTTAGATGAAAATAGAGACCCTCAGCGTTCTCTGCTCTTTCCTTCCTTACCTCCTTCAGCCCCACCCCTGAGTCCCTATTCTGATCTTCCCTCCCAAACTACTATGCCCTCTGGAACCTCCCATGTTATTATTAACAAATTTCTCTTTATTTTAGTTCTCTAATACTCTGCCTATCTTCTTTCATTCACAGAAACCTGACTTCCCTTAGACCCCTATTTCATATTTCTTTCAAGTCTCCCTGCCATACTAGGCCAGAGGAACAACAGGCATACTCCTTGGTCCTCAGTGTTCTTTCCAGACCTAAAGTAGTTTCCTCAGCGGCTCTCTCTCAGCAATGTCTCTTCCAGAAAGGTTTACTCCATCCATCTATATCAACACTATCCATGTAGCAGTTGTAGTCATCTACTGGCCATTTCCCGTATTTTCTTTTACTTTAAATAATTTGATATTTTATTTCCCCCCAATTAAATGCAAAAACAATTTTAACAACCTTTTTTTTTTTTTTTTTTTTTTTTTTTTTTTTTTTTTTTTTTTTTCAAATTTTGAGTTCCAAATTTTCTTCCACTCAACTCCCCGAGCTCCCCAGACAAGCAATTTGATATAGGTTATATATGTGTAGTCATGCAAAACACATTTCCATGGAAGTCACGCTGTGAAAGAAAACAGAGATCAAAAAAAAAAATCTAAGAAAAATAAAGAAAAAGTATTTTCTATTGGCATTCAGGCTCCATCTGTTCTTTCTCTGGAGATGGACAGCACCTTTCATCATAAGTCTTTCAGAATTATCTTGGATCATTGTTTTGCTAAGAATAAATAAGTTGTTCACAGATGATCATCATATAATATTGTTGTTAGTGTGTACAATGTTCTCCTGGTTCTGCTCATTTCACTTTGCATCAGTTCATGTAAGTCCAGGTTTTTTTGTGAGAACATTCTGCTTGTCATTTCTTATAGTACAAAAGTATTCCATCACAATCATATACAACAACTTATTCAGCCATTCCCCAATTGATGGACATCCCCTCAATTTCCAATTCTTTGCCACCACTAAAAGAGGTGACATAAATATTTTTGTATATATAGGTCTTTTTCCTTTTTGTTTTTTCTGTCTTTGACTTTCCCTATTTTCTCAAGGAGTTAAGTACCTGTCTTACAATCCTTCCCCCGCTCCAGCTTTGTTCCCACCTGGAGATTTCAATATACATATATGATATCCATCAAATATCTGGATTTCTTAGTTCATTAGCTTCTTCAACTCCTAAGATCCTGTAGGTCACAGGTTCCTTCACTTTATCTTGGCCACAGAGAGAAATGGTTATACCTGTAAGTGCTCTAACCATTATCTAGTACTATGAAATTCCTCTTTTGGATCACAACTTCCTATCTCTCCATCTTCCATATGCCTCACTCTTGCTAATCCTATGCTTTACCTTCACTGAAAGCCTCCAGTTATGCCACCCTCCTACTCTATCAACCCTGAACTAGCCTCACTTTCCTCCCTTCTAAGCCTAAACTCTAAAGTTAACCACTATTGAGCCAACTAAAGTTATACAATGTCATCTACCCTTGAATCTATTGCTCCTTTGTTCTACTGTCACTCATGCCTTGCTAAACTCAGACACTAGAGGTTATCCCTACCACATGTCTTCTCCATTCCTATTTTTTTTTTTTTAAAGGCAATTGGGGTTAAGTGACTTGCCCACGATCACACAGCTAGTAAGTGTCAAGTGTTTGGTCTGAGGCCGGATTTGAACTCAAGTCCTCCTGACTTCAGGGCTGATCCTCTATCCACTGCGCCACCTAGCTGCCCCCTCCATTCCTATTCTTATATGCTGCTGAATGTCACTGGAAGAAGTCACAAAATCATGTTAACCATTCCACTACAAATGACTTCACTTGGGTCTCACTGCTGCATGGTAATCTTTTTGTTATTCTCAGATTCGCTCTCTGAGTTCCTTACAACAGCTGTTCCAAAATTTATTGTCACTCCTCAAGCCTCCTACACAATTCCCTTACTCTTTCCCTTCTCAGCAGAGGTCCTTCTCTCTTACTTTACTAAGAAAATAGAGGACGTTAGTCATAAGCGCTCTCCTAAAATCTCTCAGCGGCACTCCTCACACTCTCCTTCTTGAATCTAGTCTTTGAGGAAGAGGTAT